TACAAATGTTCAAGGAAAAAAGCAACAGTGAGAGATTCTTTGTGAGGGTTACAGAGGTATAAAAATACCTGCAAAATGCCTGGCACAAAGGACTTACTCTAGATACTATAGAGTGAGTTTTTTATGTTATTTCTTAAATATTTATGATTTGGAATGGACAATGGTAGGAAAAATTTTTCATATATTAAAGAAGAGTCTCTCAACTACTGTGCACTGCAGAGTCCCAAGGACACCTGTTGAAAATCAATTGTATTAGTCTACATCCCAAACCCCTAAAATCAAAGTCTCTCTATGTCAGGTTCAGCCATCTGTGTGTGTGATGAAGCCTCATAGATCAGTCTAATGCTCACCTAGCCCAAGGACTACTCTTAGGATAGAGTTTGGTTACTTAGAGAGTTTTAAACCTTTCACAATATGGTATAACTGGACTGATACATTGTTGCCCAATGTATAATTAGCCATACTATAACATAATATATAGGAACCACACAGTGACCTTGATCCACTTTTTCTGAGCTCCTTACCTATACTTTGAGATTCTGAATGGGTGATCATACCTGACCTGTCACTTGGAATTTCCCTTACCTGACTGGACAATAAATGTGCTCCACTTTAAGACACTACTATAGTAGTCAAAGTAAAATCTGAGGATCCAAGCAAAGATAAGAGTTCTTCTGAAGTAAAGAAGGTGAGAGTCTTCCTGAGACAGTGAATATAATATATATGTGAGGGAAAAAGAAGTAAGGGAGAGAAACCAAATGATTTAAACTTCTGAACTCCTGGATCCTGCCATGCCTGAAATATTACCCTGGTAATTTGAATACTTCATGAAAATGCCATAATAGAAAAGAATGCCACTAAAATGTGAGAGCACATTATTGACAAGCAGCAAATAAAAGTAAAATTTCTCTCATGCTTATAAAAAAAAAACCAGAATATCTCAAATTTATTTATAGTACAATTTAAATACTCTTTAAGAAAAGACAGAAAAGTAAGCAAAGACAACCAAGGCAGGATCCAGTTCTTGCCTTGAGCTGCAAAAATTGAGACATGGTATTGCACATGGACACTAAAAACTATTCTTGACAACTTTGTTATGGACTGAATTGTATCTTCCACCACCCTCTAAGTTCATAGTTGAAGTCCTAAGCCTCTGTGTGTATGTGTGTGTGTGTGTGAGTGTTTTTGGATATAGACCCTCTAAAGAGAAAATTAAGGCTTGATGAGATTTTTTTAAAAGTGTAGCATCCTATTCCAATAGGACTAATGTCCTAACGGCACCCTGATCTTGTTCTTCCAAAACTTAAGAAAATAAATTTTGCTGCTCAAGCCACATAATGTTTGGCATTCTATTCTGAAAGCTGTAGCTAAATAATTGTTCTTTTTTTATTTTTTCATTTATGTTCTTTGGTGATTTGCAGATAAAATAAAAATAGAGTACCTCAGGGGGTATAAACCAGAAAATGCAAACCTTTTCTCTAATTTATAAACAGGAATTAAGCAGCCAAACTTTCTATGATGTGATCTATATGAATTAAAAAATTCTCTTTCTAAAATTAATCCTTTTGTTAGTGAAGCTCAGTTTTTAAAGGCTTAGAAAATTCAACTTTAAAAAAAATCACAAAAGTAATTATTAAGGACTACTGGATGCCGCAACATGGTAATAATTATTCATTTGGGTAGTATGATTAATATTTTACAAGTTCCTTCAGTATGTATAGTAAGTGTAAGGATAATTTAGTAGGTAACAGGACTCAATGAGAATATAACAGAAGATTTAGGGTAGAGGCTGTTTTGAAATAGCATAGATAATCATTTAATACAGGACAAATAAATTATTCTCGAAAACATGGGGACTTTTTGTGAAAATATTGTGCATAGAAATTGAATATTTGTATTCAGTGAAAAGAATTTACCTATCTTTCAGCATTTCTAGGAAATGAAAATTACGAATTGTCAAAACATTGTTAGGAAGAGTGCTTTTCATTTGCTAAAGAACTTACATCAGAATTCCTTCCCTTAGCTCCCTATAATGAGCCTCTGAAAGGTCACTGGGATTCAGGTGTTTTGCTTTGCCTCAAGCAGGGTGTAAGAATTCAGGGGGAAAGGAGTAAGTAGCACCTCAGGAAAGCATCCAGATTGTAGCTTGAGTCACAATGGGAGGTATTCCGTGAATACTTCATTTGCACACAGGAATTTGCCTTGAGATTCACTAAGGAATTTGCCTTGAGATTCTAAGGAATTTGCCTTGAGATTCACTTTGTAGGGCAACAGTTTTCCAGGAAAGCCAGGTTGAGCAGAAGCAAATAGAAGGCTGTAAAACTGTATTTGGAAGGTGCTTTCACTGGAACAAAATAAATAATCTTATATAAATGTAAGATGAAATTGCAGAAGAACCAAGACCCCATTCTTTGAAGAAGTTAGTATAGCCATTTGGTCCTCTGAGACTATGGAGGAATGAGAAATGCCCAATCTCTCTATTCCATCTGTATTTCAAGTTTTGCTGGTGCAAAAAACCTAGCTGAAGTAGTATAGCTTGATTGTTTTCCTTTTAAATGACTCTTGTGACAGCTCAGCTATGGGATTCAGCTGGGATAGGACAAATGCTAGGTCCTTTACTGATTTAAATCTCTATTTCACTTTATAAGACATATTAGTTGAATGCACTATTAAGGAACACATCTATTGTGTTAATAGCACACTATGTGTTTTTAGGCACAATTTATGGAATCACATAAAGCTGTAAATACCACTTAATTGTCAAGAATGAGCAACATTTATTTGAGTTACCTGGAGTCCCTGCTCAAGTGTAATCTGCTCTGGTAAATCATAACCCGTGCTACTGAGAAAAGTATCCAATGAGGAGTTAGAGACACAATGAAGGAATGAAGATGTCAAAGCAGCCAAATTATATTGAAGAAAGTTAAAAATTGAGCCAGTTACTGAAATAGAGATAGAATATTAATAGGTAACCCTTCTTCCTGGTGCACATAGCAGCTTTGATTAATAACAATAGAAGTTCTATGAGTATTCCAGGGATACTATATTCTGAATAATATACTTGGTGGGGAGAATGGAGAGAATAAAGGTGGAAATAAACAAAGATTAAGAATGCTTTTTTGGGGGGCCTCCCCGGTGGCACAGCGGTTGAGCGCTGGGTTGCGAAGCTGCCCGCAGCCTCCGCAGCCCCGGTTCGATCCCCGGGCTGCTCCCCGGCCACCGGAGGAGGGTCCCACATGGCGCGCAGACCTCTCCTGCCGCCCGCTGCTCCCCTCAGCAGTGTGCTTCGGTCCTTCTGCCTGTTCTGCTCCCCGCTCTGGCTCTAGTGAATTTTCTCACCCTCCCGCACTTCTGACTGTACCCAGTGCTTGTATAAATAATAAATAAATAAATCTTTAAAAAAAAAAAAAAAATGCTTTTTTGGAAGTTAGCCTAAAGCGCATCATCTACAAGCCTTTTTACTTTTTTAGGACTTTCAAATATTAGGCCCATTCTAGAAAACCAAATTTCTCAAGCAAATCTCTTTCTCTTCTTCCTTCTTCCTCCCCTCCTCCCTCTCTTCCCTGCACAAACATACAACCTCCACACTACATATTTGAGGTATTTCTACATAAAAATACATTAAAACGTGGGAGTATTAATGAAGTTACAGTTACAAATTGGAAGTTTGGAGAGTGATACATCAGTTTTCAGTGTCTGCTATTCTACTTATTAGTAGTAAGCTTCAGTTTCTAATATATAAATTAGGAAAAATAATAGTACTTACCTCAGAGGCTCTTCTGACAATTAGATTAGATAATGCAACAAAGGCCCCTGGTACACAGCAAATATTCTCTAAATATCTGTTGTTATGATTATTTAGTTACTGAAGAAGGTTTTGCTTTGGTCAATTGAATGCTTTGAGAAAGAGCAGAATTCATTTAAGATTGAGCTGAGTTCTCAGTCAAATGAGAAGCTGATGTTTGTTACCACTCTGTGTTTCAAAATAAGTTACTTTAAAGTTCACATCGTAGTTATAGTCTCATTAGGCATAAACACAGTACAGCAAAAAAATATTGATGAACCACTGTATTAGGACAGAGCCTCATACAGTGTTTAATTGTATGGTAGGATTTATTTAGCTTGATTGAAACACTTACCCTTCCTAGTTAAGGTGACAGGACAGAAGACCAACCATTATGACTAGAATTAGAGCTTGGTGCATACTTGTTTTGTCTTCATTATACATTATTAAGTTGGAACAATTTGTGCATTTGAACTGCACATTCAGCATCTACTTTTGTCTAAAGAAAGAAGTCCTTTTCACCTAATTTGGAAAGTCTGGGTTAGTATTTTACAAACTTTAGAAATCAATCTATAGTCTGGGGTATCAGATAACTTGTGAACTCAATCCCCTGGGATTGTCCCCAGTAGCTTTGGGCTCAAGGTCATTCTGTGGCCAATGTGGACCAAGGCCTGTTGGCAAGAGTGAGGGTTTCAGACTCTAGCTAAGCCTCAGTGCAGAGTGCAATAGGAAGTTACATCCAATTAAACAATGGAGACAGATCCAAGTAATCTCTAGATGCTTACAGTATCTGCTGATACTGAGGACTATATAGACTAACTGGTTGGTCCCTTTCCCTCTCCTTTTCATCCTGGAGACTCTGTTGTCACGCAGGCACAGGTTCAGAGCACTACAGACAACTCTAATTTGTTTCAACCTTTCATGAAGCTTTCCCATCATCAGCATCTTGGGTTCATGCTTTGTCCTTCAGAGTCTGGACTCCTATTTTATTAGCATGACATTTTGTTCTGACCTCTGTTGACAGTTTCTGGCCTCTCCTGTGCACTTTGTTTAGTTGGTCCTTTTATTTATAACTTATGTTCTTCTGTTCAGTTCAGACAAATTCATTGATTTGTGATCTGGTCACACTTGCGTTGTTCTGTCTAATGTAAAATCTTATTTTCTAGCTAGTATCTCTCATTTTGTCCATGACATTTATTTGGCTTCTTGCATTTTCATTTTGCTCTCATTCCTATTCTGATTACAGATTTTAAATGTCTGCATTTTATCAGTGAGGAAAGCAGTTCCAGCTGAGAGAATCTACTGTGTACCACATTTTATGTCTTTAAAGCATTTTATGATTTTGCAATGCACCTTCAAACACACAATATCTTATTTGGTCCTCACAACAACCCTGTGAGGTAGGTGTTAAGATGTCCATTTTACAAGGGAAGAGACAGAGGTTTGGCAAGACAGACACACATAAGCACACTACTTAGAATTCTACTAGTATCTGAATGATATGAATCAGCAAACTATGTGTTAAATCTTGTAGGAAAGGACATCTATTAAAATGTGGTCTGCTCATTTACAGCAAGATTCTCAAAAATAACATGGAATCCCACATTTTTCCTATTCATATTTTTCTACAGTTTCTTCTTTCTGATTTTCATCCCTTTATATACACAAAAGACTTCCAGTTATAATGAAATATATGTATATATAGTGCATTAGTATTTTATATATTCTATATACGCTACACCATATGTGTGGGACCTATACTGCATATTTATAGCATAAAATACAAAGAACTTTTTAAATTTTAAAAAAACAGCATTTTTTCTTTTCATGATCAAAATATTTGCTTGAAAGGGCCAGGTAATTATAGAAAACATGTTTTGTTTTTGGTTTAATGTGTGGAATGAACTGCCTAATCTCTCTTTTATTTCACCATAAAACATGAAAAACAGTGCTATTGTTTAGAGAATTAAAAGGAAAGGTAAATTAAGAAAATAAAAATCCATTTTCATTTTTAATTTTCTTAAGTATTTTAAATCTTGACCTCTGCTGAACACCTGTAGAAGCCTATTCTTCCCACAATACAGCTCTGCTGTTTATAAAATTTCCTGTCTGCATATCTATGTTTTACATGAACAATTAGCTCGATAAGATCAAAGACAGCAACAATCTTATTTAACTGTTAATATTCAGCTCCAGGAGATACAACACAATGAACACAGGCTGAGTGAATGAATAAGTGAATGAATGCATTTTCTTTTGCCATGCCTAACTCTGATTGATAATAATGTTTTTTAGTGTGAAGCCTCCACATATAATCAATATCATGAGATTTCTCCTAGAAATGTATGTGTTAAACTGGGTTCAGCAAGACATTAGATGAGTGATGGCAACAGACTGAGTACTGGTTTGTGGAGCCTGACAGTCACTACATGGGAGGTGCTAAGAGATGGTGGTTATGGTGGTGTGCTGTACTGGGGAGAGGTCTGAGCTTGGGGGCAGAAGCTCAAACACCACCAAGGACCAGGAAAAATGCCATGCGGAAGCTGGGTACCACACGAGAGCCAACGTTGTTTGGAGGAGTCACAAAAGGATCTTGGAGTCAGTTGTGCTGGTGACTTGTCCAGAGGTGAAGGGCCTTTTAATGAGATGGCAGCAGAAGGTATCCTGCCCAACCACCTGATCTTAGAAGGGTCCTGCCCTAATATGATCAGGGGGTTGTACTGGTCTTGATACATATATAAAAGGAAATCGATGATTATTTTTATTACAGTTAAATCATGCCTGAAAAATATAAAAAAATGTATATTAAAATAGTTCAATATAAATGTTCATAAAACAGAATTAATTGAGGGTGTGGGGAATCAGGCACGTTCAGGTAGAGTGAATTGGTGCAACCTTTCTTGTGCTATTTGCAAGAAAGACTCCATCAGGTTTTAACATGCATGTAGCCTTTCAACCACTGATTCTACTTCTAGCAAATTCTCTATTAAAAGAATTTTCTCAAGATCATGTATGAGAATACTGAATGTGGTATTGTTTACTAAAATCAAATCAACATAAACAAAAATCTTCAAGTGGTCATGACTAGGGGACTGAATGACTGTATTATGGTATAGCTGTATGATGGAATGTTGTACTAATGGAATAATCACTCAGTATAGTCAATGAAAGAGAGGAGGTAGACTCATATGTGCTGACATGGGCAGATGACCAGAATATTAAATAAGGAAAAAGAAAAACATTGTGTGTGTGTATGTATATATACATATATATGTATACATGTATATATGTATTCTCTCTTTTTGAAGCACAGAGATCTATATTCCTCATGGGTTGGAGATGCAGGGAGGGATTTGTAGAATACAGACACTTATACACAGAAATATTTCTCATGACTTTTTCACAGAAGCAATGTACATAAACTTCAAAACAGACATGAAAATATGTGTAACTGAAAACATTTATGAACATATCTGAAAAAAATGTTCAAAGCATTTAAACAGATTACAAAATAAAGAGGTCTCTTCTCTACCAAGTTTGAGCAGTCAAGGTTAAGGTTAAGCAGTCTCAAGTAGAGGAGATAAAGAAACAGATAAAGACAAAAGTAAACATGAAGACAGGCAGCTCAACTGAAAATAAATGGAGTAACAAAGAGAAGGGAGGGTAAGTAGAATAAAAAGTATACAGCAGATAAAATGATCACATTAAAGAACAAATGGATACAAAGGAGGAAAGATAAACTAATGGTTCTACCAATTTTATATAATAGTAACACTAATAACCAGTGAAGAATATTAAAGTGCCTTGAGGAGATACAATGCTCAGGAGGCAAACATAGGTCAACAATGTAACAATTTGGAAAGCATCATGTAGTTATACCATAGCCATTGTCTGGCATTCACAAATTATAACCATATATTGCATCCACACATAATAATAGACTTAAATAGTTATTTTTGCTAAGACAGAGGAATTGGTACTATATTTTAAATAATAATTACAACTGAAAACTGCTACTTTTTGGTACATTAAATAACTTGCCATTATCTGTCAAAAATAGACTCCAGATAGGTAAATATTATATGACTATTTATATCAGCTCTTCCCACAGCTCTTAGCAGTATTACATGGGAGGAAGCCTTGGATTCTGAAGAGTAAAATGAAAAATTCTCATTGTTTATCACTACCCTTTCATTGTATCTATATAGAATTGACCTGAATACACAAGAACTGGATTTGGTATGGCCTATTGAAGAACTTCTTATCTAATGTCTAGAATTTAAGTTCTAACTTATAGATCCTCTACACTGCAATATGAGGTCAGCATTCCATCCACAGAGAGATCTGTTATGAAATTTATTCTACTGTGAGTTTGAAGATCTAGGATACAGAATACCACTTTTCAAGTTTTTAGTAAAACAAAAGCCAAAAAAAAATGCCCACCAGAGAATTGGTCTGTCAGGTTCTTATATTGTCTATATTCCTATATATAGGATGTCAGTTATCCAGTTAGTAGGTAAAGAGTCTGTAATTGTTTGTATTCATAAACTTGATTTTCCTTCATCAGAAGAAATTGACTTGAAAATTGAACAATTTTCTACATGGAGTGTTTAAAAAATAATTTTCATCAAACACAAAATACAAATGTATAATGAGAGTTAAAAATTTGTATAATTCAATTTATGTGTTTTATTTCAGTTAGCATATTTTATTTGTAGAAAACTATGGCTGAGTTTCACGGAATCTCTATGGATTAATGCTGACATTCTCAACGTTTGTCACAAGCTCAGATGACTACCATCACAAGTTAAATTAATTTAAAAATATAAAAAGGAACTGTGCTTACCTGTTACGCTTCCACCCCCTTTTTCCCCTTTCTGCCCTTTTTGTCCAGGATTTCCTTGAAAGAAAAGTAAAAAATATATATATTTGTTAATTAGGGCAATTCACAAGGTTTGCTTAAAATTGGAGAAAGAGCATCACAACGTAACATAGAAGTATATCAACTTATAACAAACCTGTAGATACACAAATATAATAACATGGATGCTAATTATAACAGCAATCATTTTAGAAGCCTTATTATATATGAACCTGGCAGTTTTCTGGGTAGTTCTTTTACATATTATGTCTCAAGGGCATTAAATATTTACAAGGGCATTAAATATTACAAGTAAATATTTACAAGGGCATTAAATATTTCATTTTTCTAAAGGGAACAAAGCCAAGGTGCAAGCAGATAATTTTTGTGCTTATTTTTCCTTTTTTTTTTTTCTCTTTTTTTGACTATGTCTTCTTACCTTCCCCAGAAAGCTTTCTGGAAGATTTCTTCCAGCTTATCCTAAACCTTGTTTTTCTATTCTCACTGCCATTTATCTATGATGTTTTCCATTTCTTTAGAGAAGAACGTGCTAAAGTCCTGGCTATGAATGACTCTCAGGAGTACTGAGATCCTGATTACCTCACTCCTGGGGGAAGCTAGGAAGGTCTGAGGGGTGTGCAAGCCTTTAGGATAGTTGTTACTTTGAGAACCTCATCTATTTACATAAGAGTGTGGTGCAAATATTGTAATTTTATATGTGGGCCAAGACATCAAGTAGATACAAAAGCATTTCAGGGATATTGGTCTTTGCATTGGGTTGCTTATTTCACCCACAATTCTATTATCGAAGGTGTATCAAAAAGAGCTTCCTTAAAACCAATGAGGGATTTAATGGTGATGATTTCACCTCATGAGAATGGGGCTGTTTTTTGGTTTCTTTTTTAATATTAATTTATTTATTTAGTAGAAAAATTGGGGTGTAAGCCAGAAGTGTGAGGGATGTTTTGTTCTGTGGATTCAACTAACCATCTTGGGACGTCTATTGTACAAGTAATCATCTTGGCATAAATGCAGCAGTGATCATAGTGCTATTGTTGCTAAGTCAATATCTTTGTTATTGTCTTGACTCTCCGCATCAAGAAGCTCTATCTTTCCATGCAGTGACTAGAAGATATAGTTTAAAAATCATGCACTTTTGAAATACTGCAATAATTTTTAAATCTCTATATTAAATTATTTTATTCTGCTACCTACTAGATACATGCTTCAGAACAAACCTTTAAATCTTTTTATCTTAGCTTTATTTTATTTTCTTTTTAAATTTTTACATCGTTTTTCATTTTTAAACAATATTTGCTTCCCCCCCCCCAGTGTAATCCCCATAGAGTTTCCTTCACCAAGGCATCCACCTACCATCACCTCAGCCTCTGTGCCCCTCTCCTCCCTCTAATCCCTCCCCTCCTCCTCCCTTGCAGGATGTCTCTGATTTATAACTGTCTGGTTTTGCTTGTTGTGTTTTGTACTGTTATTATTTTTTTACACTGATGTCTTATTTGGTTCCCCTATATTCCTGCTATAAATGAAACATCTGATATTTTTCTTTTTCCTTCTGGCTTATTTCTCTGAGCATAATTCCTTCTAGCTTCATCCACGTTGCTGTGAATGGCATGAGTTTATCTTTTCTGATTGTTGAATAATATTCCATTGTGTATATATGCCACATCTTCCTTGTCCAGTCATCTATTTTTGGGTATTTGGGTTGTTTCCAGGTTTTATCTATTATAAATAGTGCTGCAATAAATACAGGTGTATAGGTGTTCTTTTGAATCAATGTTTTTGTGTCCTTTGGGTGGATCCCTAGTAGTAGAATTGCTCCATTTTTAGTAGACTGAGGTACCTCCAGACAGCTCTCCATAGTGTTGGACCCATTTGCACTCCCACCAGCAATGTAGGAAGGTTCCTTTTTCACCACATCCTCACCAACATTTGTTGTTGCTTGTTTTTTTAATATGTGCCATTCTTACTGGTGTAAAGTGGTATCTCAATGTGGTTTTAATTTGCATTTCCCTGATTATAAGGGATGTTGAACATTTTTTCATATGCCTGTTGCAAGCCTTTAAATCTTTTGTGAGCTAAAGTTTATTCTGGTCTCTGGGCCTCCCCGGTGGTGCAGCGGTTGAGCGCTGGGTTGCGAACCTGCCCGCAGCCTCTGTGGCCCCGGCGCCGGTTCGATCCACGGCTGCTCCCCAGCCACCAGAGGAGGGTCCCACATGGCGCGCAGACCTCTCCTGCGGCCCGCTGCTCCCCTCAGCAGTGTACTTGGGTCCTTCTGCCTGCTCTGCCCCCGCTCTGCCTCTGGTGAATTCTCTCACCCTCCCGCGCTTCTGACTGTACCCAGTGCATGTATAAACAAAACAAACAAATAAATAAAATAAATAAACATGCCTCTATAAAATTAAAAAAAAAAAATAAAGTTTATTCTGGTCTCAAACAAAAAAATAATACCTTCCATTATAGAATTTTCCTGGTGGTGCAAGGGGTTAAGCACTTCACTATGAAGCAATCCACAGCCTCTGCAGCATGAGTTCAATCCCTGGCCACCCAGGGAGCTACCCACATGGCGCAGCAGACCTCTCCTGACTTGCCCGCTGCTCCCCTCAGCAGTGTATTTCAGTCAATCTGCCTGTTCTGTTCCCCGCTCTGTATCTGGTGAATCCTCTCATCCCCTGGATCTCTGGCCTGTACCCCAGTTCTTGTATGCATAAATAAATAAATCTTAAAAAAAAATTAGCAAAGTGTTCATAAAGTACATTGCCCATAAGCAAGAGATGGTAATTCTTACTGTTATTATTTATTTTATATCTTCCAAAGATTACTTAGAACCAGTTATGTGATTTTACTCTCAAGAGAAGATTGTTTCATTTTAATTGACATTTTATGGCACAATTACATTCAATTTCATTAAAAATTTTTAACCTTTACTTTGGGTTTTATCTTTTCATTTGTTTCTGTAGTTTACTTTGCAAACTACATCTCTTTTTTGTGTTTTGAACATTTGTCTTTACTCATCTCTTATGGAAGATATTTTATCGCCAATTTATCAAATTAAATATATATATATATATATAAATAACAGGTTGGTGACTTACAAGAGAACTGAGGTTTAGCACTTGAAAAGCATAAATTATTTCCAATTAAAATTTTATTTTGAATATTTCATTAAATGCCAACCATTTCTATCAGCATATCATAAAGAGAATGCCTCTAATTGTTCTGCATATATGATTAATTGTACATCATTAAATTTACTTTTTATGTTTCGGTCATTTCAGGTAATAATATTTGGCAAAAAAGTAATTTATTTCAAAGTACCCCAAATCTTTCTTATTCTTTATGGTATCTTCTTATGTGATATAGTACTAAAGATTTAGATTTCTCAAGAAGAAAAGTCTAAGATATATTTTAAAATGAGGGAAAGGAAGGAATTAAGTGATATAATTAATCAGTTCTAATTCTTTTCAGAGAGGATAATATAATATTCAAGCTTAATATTATTTTTTATTATTTTTAAATTTAATTTTATTTTATATATTTTTACATCATTTTTCATTTTTGCACAATGTGTACATTTTCATCTTGGTTATATTACCCATACAATTCCCACCCCCCCTTATTTTGACTCTAATCCCTCCACCCCTCCACTCCATAGTGTGTCACTGGTTTACAGTTACTTAATTGATTTTGATTTTTACTTTTTTTATAATTAGTCTTTTTCCTGGTCCCTTATTTAGGTTTTCTAAATTCCTGCTATGAGTGAGACCATCCAGTATTTTTCTTTTTCTTTCTGGCTTATTTAGCTGAGCATGAGCCCTTCCAGTTCCATCCATGTTGCTGCAAATTGCATGAGTTTATCTTTTTTTGATTGCTGACTAATATTCCATCGTGTATATGTACCACATCTTGTTGATCCAGTCATCTATTTTGGGGCATTTGGGTTATTTCCGTCTTTTAATGCTCTGATTTGGGCATTTCTCTTCTTAAAATATCCAAGACAAATTCCTTCATGAAAAGTCATATACAAATAACAAATGGTCTCTTCCCTTTTTTCTAATTATGAAATTAATGATGAAATAATAGCATTAGGACAATCTTAAAGTATTAATAATGTCTTATAGCATAATTCTTATAGCATTAAGAATGTCTTACAGAATGTCTTAATGCTATTATTTCATCATTAATTTCATAATTAGAAAAAAGGGAAGAGACCATGTGTTATTTGTATATGTCTTTTCGTGAAGGAATTTGTCTTGGATATTTTATGAAGAGAAATGCCCAAATCAGAGCACTAAATGAAGGACCCATAGCTCTATGGTTCTATGATAAATAAAAATTAGCTGTATGTTTTTATTTTACTTTTTGATCTTATTATCACTCTTTTTTTTTTCCTTTATAGTGTTGTAAAATGAAACTTCTTGTTATAAATAAGCAGGCAAAAATGTATCAAGTTATTTTAATATAACTCAGAGATGTCCTTACTGATGACACTTGGAAATCTCTTTTCACACTTGAACACATCAAAAACATCCTTTCCAGAGAACACAAATATACCCCTCCATTAGAATAATGACTATGTCTTAAAATGACCAAAAGCTTAGTCAAAACCTGGATTTCACCATCTCTTGTCATGTATATCACTCTTCAATCAAAAATAAAGAACATAAGAGGAAGTATAGTGCCCCTTCTATGACTTAGACAGTAAATTAGACACTATGCAAAGAAGCCACAATTTATCCAACCAAATAATTCTGCACTGAAGCCCCTCTGCCTTTTCAAGTCTTTATCTTCAGATGTGACCAGCCTCCTTCCTGAGTCTAATGCTTCTTCCTTTGATCCAAGTTCTCCACCTTCAATCTTCTCATTAACTTTCCACTGTCTTTTTGCCATTCTTCTCTGCATCTTTAGTCACTCTGTTTACACTGCCATCAGCATTTAGATATTCAAATCTCTTTCAAAGAGATTTGAATCTAATGAAATACACTGTAAGCAAAAAACCTAACCTTTCTTTTCTGTGGAACCAGACTGCTCAGGAGTCAGTTCTCCCCCATTTGTAATATAATTCTTATCACCTGTCCACCTCAAAGCATTTCTCAATTTGGTCTCAACCCTTCTCACCATACAGAAAAGGCTCTCAATAAAGTAAACATTCTCATAGCAACAGATTCAAAGAGCTTTATGCAGACTTCATTTTACTTGAACACCTGTTGAAATTCCCGCTGTCTTTGGGTTTTCTTCCTCACTTCATCCATTCTGCTTAATTTCTGGCTTTGCTCTTATTACTAAGTCTATACTTCTGGAACGATTTAAGAATTAACTTTGGTCCCTTCTCTCTGTATGTTCTTTTCATTGTCTACACATGAAATATTATTAAAATTATTTTTTTCAGTGAACATCAGTTGAATGTTATGATAGCTACAACTTTATCTCTGGCCTCACCACTGAACTTCTAAGTTACACAATTCAGTTATGAATATATCAATGAATGATATAGGAAAGCATTCATGGGATGTTTGCTGAATGAATGAGTGAATGAATGAATGAATGAATAAAGTTACCCTTAGAGTCAGGCTGAGTGAACTGAGAGGATCTGACTGCAGAGAAGCATATGATTTACATGCTGAAAAATCTAGTTCTTTTAACACGGTTATAGCCAGAATTCTTTGGGGATTTTGAAGATATGTAATGTTATACTTCAACTAAATCCCTATGGCTTTTTGAAGTAAATATATCAGATTAGAAATGCTCTACTGTATTGATACACTATATATCTAGAAAGCATAAATACTTTCCTTTCTCTTCTCATATTTGCATGTCTTATTTAAGGACTATGTCATATTCACCTCTCATTTTCCTATACATAGCATTGTATCTTGTATACATAGTAAATATTTAATACCCATAAATGAAGTGGGAAGGGTAGGGATGAAAAGAAGAGCAGGAAAGAAAACAGGAGTAAATAAATAGGAGTGTTCTTTCTCGAACTTTTTGCTTTGAAATTTGTCATTGTTTTGTTATCATTAAGCTAAGCCAGACTATGTGGTTTAGTTAGATTATGAAATTATTGAATTTTATTTCTAACTATATTATCTTCTCAGAGAAGGGAGATATATTATTCGCTGTTTTAATCTGCAGTCTAACTAAGGTAGGCCCAGACACCACTACTCATATTTCAACCAAATTGAGCCTAAAAACAAGGAAGTGATATCCTAAGTATATTTTTGTCAAGGGATTTATTAGATCTGCCTTTGCTTTAATGCTTGCAAAGTTTCTCTTTTCCCACTCCTTTTCTTTACCTGAAGACATCGTTCTCAGTAGTTCCTTGAACATCATCATCAATCACCCAGGGACTTTGGAGGAATGAAAATTTTTGAGAGAAAACAACCCCAGACATATTCGATCAAAAACTCAAGGGGTGGAGCACAGTAAGCTGTTTTAAGAGGGCTGCACAGGTAATTCTTGCATCTGCTGAAGTTTCAGAACCTCAGACCTAAAGACATTTTATGTTTTTTAGACCAGCCCTTAACACCACTTACTCTGCAACACATTGACTTGCTGTATAGAATTAATCACTCTCCACTCTTAGAGCATTTTGTCCCACTTCATAAGTGTTTACTGCTTACCACATTGCATTAGAGCTAATTGCCTCTGCAGTTTTTTGCCCCCTGTTCCTGAGGGCAGTGGCTGTACTATAGTTTGTCTCAACACACAGCAAACCCTCATAAAACTGTGTTGACTACTTAAATGAATCAATGGATAATCTTCCAAGAGTTCTGAAAGGTGGGCATTTGTTGAACTTTAGGAGTTTGGGTATAGAAAGAAAAACTAGATCTTGTATAGGCTGCGGTTAGTAAGTGCTGCTTGCTGTGTCACAGGAATTGTATGAAGCATTTTAGGACAACAGCTTACTCATTTAAATTTTGCAGAAATTCTAAAATGTGCATCCGCTTATTGATCCTGTTTTGCAGATAAGAAAACTGGGCACAGAGAAACCAAGTAGAAAACTTGAACATTCAAGTCTAGAATCAAATAGGCACTGCGCTGTCTTTGTATTCCCAGAGAGGGCAAAGAAAATAATATCATAGAAAACCTATGTGCACCATGAAATTCAAGTTCAAACCACTTTGCTTGCTTGTTTTTCTATGTCAGTCTTTTCATTCTCTTTGTTCTAAGTTAGATACCATGCTTCATGGTGATTTATGGTTTTGTGTAGTTTACAAATCCTCTTTGTGTGTGTGTGTGTGTGTGTCTTTTGAAACTGCTTTCCTTGGAGACAAAGAAACTTTCCTCAGATGGGCAGAAATCAATTTCAAAATAGTCAGACCATAAAATAACAGCATGTGAGTACTATATTCATACTATGATGATCACTGTTTTGTTATGAAGAATTTGAAAAAAATATATGATCTGGTGTTTGTTTTACATATTTTATATACAAAATATACATTATTCTAATAATACCTTGTCTTCCCGGCCTCCCTATTAGTCCTGGAGCTCCTGGAGATCCGCGAAAACCAGATACTCCTCGATCACCTTTGAGACCTGGAGGTCCTAAATGGTTAATGAAGAAAGACACAATGGTAATAATTCATTATTCATATGGTATAGTAAGACAATCTGGTTTTATTAATGAACATAGTGATTCTCCAAATATAAACATAGTATCTTTCCTAAAATTGTATGTGTGTTACTGGCAAATATTATACGCAATGAACATTGGCACATTTAACAAAAAAAATTATAATTACAAATAAAAACACATTAGAAAAAGAAATCTTGAAGTTTTAACCAGAAGGTTTATGTAGTCTAATCAGGAATCTTCAAATGGCAGGATTTTGCAATAGCTGAAATGAAAACTTTGAGATGTTTAATCTAAAAATTGAATTCTTAAGATTTGTCCCACAAAAAGCACAACTCAAGTAATGAGAAATATCAGAGAGCATTTTCTTTTCTTTTTTTTTTTTTTAGGATTTTAACCAATGTATATTTTAAAGAAAAACATAAATTAAAATAAATCTTACTGTTAATGAATATTCCACAAAATATATGACATATGCCCCCAATCAAAGTATCAATATCAGGCAACCCAGAGGTTATAAATTTTCACCAGGTTTGCTTCCAGTTAAAAAGAAATTTCATAAAGGGTTGTGCTATCCAACACTTATGTTAGCATGGGTTTTTTCATGAAGAGATCAATTTTATCTTAAAATAGCTTAATTATCATTAATATCAACATAGTTTAATAGTTACTGCTACATAAAGACATAATTTTATCCATTTTTGTAAGTTATTTCTATGTTAAAATTTTTATTCATATATATTTTTTACATCGTTGTTCATTTTTGTGCAATGTTTACTATATCCTCTCATGTGAAATATTTTAAAAATGGGACCAAATATTCACAGACTGTTTCTACATATCCCATTGAAACCCCAAACAATGTAACCATGTGTATATATGTGTGTGTTCACAAAGATTCATTTTGAAGCATATATTATATACATATACAAACCCATGGCTTTACATGCTTAAATGAAACATGATTTTTTTTTAACCCCAAATCACTGTGGTGATTATTAAACAGCATAAAAGGCAAATGTTAATTTCCTATGGAATAAAACATTTCATGCTGGAGTCTACCAATTAAACATACTATTGTAAAAATCTTATTTTAGGTGTCATCATCAGTTTACCTAACACATCCTGAGAAGAGAGCCTATTAATCCAATTTTCAGTTAACTTCTTGGGAAGCACATTATGAAAAATTGGTTAAAAATCATTTTCTAATGTCAATCTTTTCAAATATGCCATTAGTTTATAAGTGCCAAGAGATAGGACTTTATATAATTAATTCATAAAGAAATTATTCTTGAGGCTTATTTATATAGACAAGTGAAATTTGGTTTACTATTCTCTATGAAATATTCTAATAAGTATATTATTGTAAAGAGTTGAGAAATATTCAACTCCATGTAAAATTTCATATAGCAGAAATTAACCAGATATCCAAAGCAAAATGTTGATAAATTATGCTTAGAAGTGTTAGTAAAGTCAGGCTATTTATTTAATTTAATCACTCAGCTAATTGCTTTAATTTAATTTTTATAGCTACTTTGTAGTACAGATCGGCTGGTCATCACAGCATATAGTCTAGAAAGGATCTAACATCAGTTCTCAAGATAGACAGATAGTAAATATATTTATACCTTTCTTCATTATCCAGGTGAGGCAGTCAAACTTTTGCACTTATTATTCAAATCTGTCCCTCTAATTTACAAATATAAACAATGACTTTGCTCTATCTATCTATGTTATAATATTCCTCCACCCTTTGTAGAATGTCATTCACTGATGACTTCCACTTTTACCATTTTCCCTTAATTGAATGAAAATATATTAAACATGCATATTGTGCCACTCCCTGGATGTTCTTGGGGCTACAAAAGTTCTTATCAGTGTGGAAGATCAGTAAGGGGAGAGAGGTGACATGAAAGTTAATAAAAATGAAAATAATTTTGGAGATTATAATTTTAGAAAAATTGTCTGGGTTCAATTTAATAAGGTTAAACACTAAGCACCCACTGCTGGCCTAGCAGGCAGACCTGGGAATCTTGGATAAAGGAATTGATAAGTTTGCCTTGGGAACAAGCATAAGACCAACCACCGTGGGCCTCCCTGGTGGCGCAGTGGGTTGAGCACAGCGCTGTGAAGCTGTCCGCAGCCTCAACAGTGCTGGTTCGATACCGGCCGGCCGAAGAGAATCCCACATGGCACAGCAGACCTCTCCTGTCGTGCCCACTGCTCCCCTCAGCAGTGTATTTCTGTCGTCTGCCTGATCTGCTCCCCGCTCTGTCTCTGGCGAATCCTCTCAACTCCTGCGCCTCTGGCTGGTACCCCCAGCTCTTGTATAAAAATAAATAAATCTTTAAAAAAAAAAGTATCTTGGTCCTTAAAAAAAAAAAAAACAGCGACCATGACCAGGAAAATCCAGCCCAGCTCCAGGAATGAAGAAGTAGAGGCCAAGACATGTTTCTGTGTCATAGGCCAGCACCCAAGACCAGACATCTCAGCACAAACTGGTGCAAACTGGTGCCCCAAGTTAGAAAGCTTGCGAAAACAGAGTATGAGAGAGCGCCTCAAATCCTCCTTCGTGTGCAGACTTCTCCCATCTCGCCGGCTGCTTCTCTTTTCAATGTATTTCAAAAGATCGATTCTCCACTCTTTCTCTGGTGAGTTATTTCACCCCCTTGCCTCCAGTCTCACCCCAATATTTCTCCTCACTACAGAGAATGCCTTGGGATCTGCTTTAGAACAAGGTACCAGAAAGAACCTCTCCAATGATGGTTCCTTGAGACAGAGAATATAATTGTGACACAGAGAATATAATTGTTCAACTAGGAGTTATGTTACATTTTCAGTGGATGGACAAATGAATCTATAAATGAAATACATGTAATAATTTTCTAGAAATCACTTGATCATTAGATCTCTATTATGGGACATGTTGAATCAGACTTAGATAGTCTATATAAATTATATAGACTATAGTCTATATAGTTATGTGACTTGTTTGTTCAATGATGTCTGAAAATGTGACTGCTAAATAGAAGCACTCCTTGAAATTTTTTCTAAGACACCAGATTCTCTGTGCTGTCAGATGGCAATTAGCTAATTTTCTGCAATAATCTTGGCAAGGGAGAAGGGTCTGGCACCTGCCTCTAACTCACAGGTAACAGAATTAAATTTTACACAGAATCTCAGCCACAGAATGTTAGAGTTTCAAGGGACCCTACACATTATCCTGTCTAAATCTATCATTTTGTAGCAGCAGGAACAGAACACCAAAGAGATCAAACTGTTCATATAAGGCCAGTCTGATCATTATTCACATAGCTGGTTTGCTAGCTTTTGATTCAGCCTTTTTTTCCTGAGGTCTAGCAGAGGGTTAAGAACATAGACCCTGAAATCATGCCCATCTGGGTTCAAATACTCACCTGCCACTTATCAGCTGCTTATTGATCTTGAGGAAGTCGTTTAACCTCCTCCCTGTGCTTTGGTAAAATGGTTTTATTATTTGCCTGAATCATATGTTTGATAGCATGACTGAAAGAGCTAATACATGTAAAACACTTAGCAAAACACCAGCCACAGGATAAATGCTTTGTGTTAGCTCTTCTCTTTCCTTCTTGCTCCTCCTCTGTCCCCTCCTCTCTTTCTCCTTCTTCCTCATTCTTCTTCATCTTTATAGTAATATAATCATTATTTTCACCAGCCTTTTGTAAAGGCTGCTAAATTTAGTTTTATTTAATGATATATACATAGTTAACAATGACATTTTTGTATTCATTGGCACTTGTTACCTCCTAAAGAAAACTGCTTTCTCTATTCAGGCATAGAACAACAGCCTGCAGCTGGCAACATTCCCTAAATATACATTTAGGGAGCACTATCCTTGCTGATGCCTGGGGAGAGGGCTTTCTGGGTCACAGACTGGGAGGACAGGTGGTGCAGGGTAAAGAACTGCATGTATATAAACATTACTAAAATGCAGTTTCTGTCTTCTAATATCCACAGTTAGGATGGACTTTATATTTCCCTCCAGAGGCATGGTTCTGCCAGTAAAACATTCAGGTTATGTAAGAAAAGAAAAACAGCACTGGTTGATGATGGAAATTTTGCAGCCAAAGAAGCCTTTGTTTATCTCTCAAGGCACATTATGTAAGTAGCCTCTCTCATCACTACAAGTCAGGCAGTCCTGTTATTGTTCCCACTGGGCAGAAACAGCCCATTAAATGGCCTTGTAAAAGGTTCATTTTGGGGGCCTCCCTGGTGGCACAGGGGTTAAAGACAGTGCTATCAAGTTATCGCCAGCCACCACAGCAGGAGTTGGATCTGCAGTCAGCCAGGGAGTAACCCACATGGTACAGCAGACCTCTCCTGCCTCGCCCGCTGCTCCCCTCAGCAGCGTATTTCAGTAGATCTGCCTGTTCTACTCACCACTCTCTCTGGTGAATCCTCTCATCTCCTCAAACCTCTGGCTTACACCCCAGTTCTTATATGCATAAATAAATAAATATTTTAAAATATGAAAGAAAATGTTTTCCTTCGGATTAAGGAGGTATCCTTTCTTTCCCGGGGGAATAACCCTAAAAGTGGCCCCCAAAGTATCTCATATGAAATCAAGAATCCTTGACCGTGACACTCATCATTCTTATATAGTCAATTGTACTGTTAGTACTGTGAAAGCAGGGACACTTTGTGTCTGTACATAGGATCCACAGGACCTTGTGGAGCACTGGGCACAAGAAAAGTGCTCAGAACACTTTTTTTTTTTTTTTTTTTTTTGAGAAAAAAGGTCATTGGACCTGGCATGCTTCCAAGGAAATGACTTTCTGAAATGAATTTTATTGTATTATTTTGAAATTGAAGCATCTGTTTACATAATATTTATCCCAGTACATAAGCAGCAATTATTTTTAATGTATTGATTACTCAGGACCACTAGGAAAGCCACTTGAAGTTTCTCAGATTTTCATATCATGGTTGTGAGCCTCGGTGACTTTGGTTTTTATCAAGCTAAGTTTAGTGGTCTCAACTGAATATATTCAGGGGGAGAAAGGGGTCAGGAACTTGCTCAAATAGGAAGCAGAATTATCAGGATTGTCCATTCTACACTTTTTACCTCCTGATTCCATTACAAAGTATGGGACAATCAGGCAATCTGACAAAGAACAAACTGCAGCAGTTAAACAGGGAAGAATCCACTGGGCGAGATATTTAGTAGCGTGAATACTTTTGCTTTAGTGCAACAAATCAAATGACAATTTAATAATCAAAAAGGCAATTTATTACCTCAACAATGAAATCTAACTCTCTTTTATGACAGACTGGAAAATGTGCATTTGTGGAAACAAGCAGTATCAGTAACAACAGACTGATGATGGAATAACAATAACAGGACTGCCTGACTTGTAGTGATGAGAGAGGCTACTTACTACTTTGGCTGCAAAATTTCCCTCACTAAAAGAATCAAAGAAGTTATACAATGGTATGTGTTTATGGCATTAAGCATTCCAAAAGATACTCCCAAGATGAAGCTTTGTGTGCCAAGTTGTAGCCCACACTGAACTATGGTGGAGTCATAAAGCCTGACAGTTGCAATTTATAATGGAGGAGCTGACAGACCTTTGACAATAGCAGCTCTGGCAGCTGATAAAATATTGGTTACTTCCCCTGCTTATAACATTACTGTACCATTGTTAAGATCTGCTGAGTGCTAGTCAAGTAGATTTTCTTTTATTAAAGAATCTTACCTGGCAAGTAGTTTCAAAGGTACACTGACAACCCACCAATTACATATGAGTATGTAAAATTTTTAAACCATTTTTACTATAAATCTTATATATATATGTATATATACATCTCTACATAAATATTTATTACATATATATTAAGCACAAAGATGTAAAAGTCAGGCAGGTGTCAAATTCATGGTTTTCCTGAAAAATATATTTTTTCTGATGCAATCTGGGCTAATCAAAACATTTATCAGAAACAACATTTTTATATAATTAAAAGAAAGAAAAGATGAAGAATATGGTATTTAGATTTTTTGGGAAGCACAAACCATTCTGGTTATAATTAGATCATGCAATATATTCCCCACTCTCAAAAAACATGCAGTCATTGATTTGCAGCCAAAAACAACATGACAATCATGACTGTCATTGTCTTCTGTACTTTTTGAAAGCAAGGAAAGTTCTTGCTCTTTCTCTTTTTCTGTCTTCTATTATCTTCTTTCAAAATATTTTTTTCAAGATAACATAGATACAAATAATTTGAAACAATTTTGCTCTAAGTAAAATACAGAGAGCAGCTATTGGTAAAGGTAAAAGCATTCTGTATTCCAGTCAATATTTGCATTCATATTTTGTAGATTTAAGCAGATATATTAGTTAATGACTATATACAAATACAGTCTAATTTGACTTTAACTCATTGTGCTTTTTGTATCTTTAAAAAGATAACTTGAAATACACTTAATACAAATTTGATTTTCATATCCTTCTTCACATGTAAACTAAATGTATGTCTGCCATATACTGTTTGCAGTCAATTAAACAGAACACCCTCTACTTAAGAACATCCCCCAGGTAATGGTTCCAGCTAAATTATGAAACTTTCTTCAAAAATCAAAAGTATCAGTGCTCACCATACAATTTATTTTAATTAGGCTGTTAGTACACTTAATATCCTCCTACACACATATACAATCCACAGCAAACACATCATATATCTATTTTCCATACACACATAGATGTGTATTATCTAGTCTGTAGTATATGATTAAGTAGTTACTATCACCATACCTATTGCACCTGGAAGGCCTTCTCTACCAGTTGGTCCCATGGGGCCTCTATCTCCTTTTTCACCCGGGGGTCCAGGAGGACCTTTAAAAAATTAATAACAATTACGGATCATAGTTTAAAGCATAGTTAAATAAATGGCATGTGTTAAGACAGTTATATAAGTAAATACAAATACTCTGTTAGTTGTACAATAACAAAATGAATATTATGGCCCTTCCTGAATGAAACCACATTCTACTATTGAATAGTATAATATCTCTTATTGATAAGTATAACTCTAAATTACATAACCTAATTAGGTATTAAAAACTTTTATGTGCTAAGCACTTTTGTAGGTTTTCAGAATCCAGGAGCAGAGAAATACTGAGTCAATGATAAAACAATTCTAGTATTGTTTCCAGTATTACTAGGCAAATTTTACTACATTATGTTGGATGCTGTGTATAAAATATATAAGTAGAGACTTAAAAATCATGTGTAGGAAAACAAAAACTGTGTGTAACAGCAACCAAAAGCCATATTTTGGAAACAACCTTAAATGCAGATATTTGTTAGAACAATGAAGATGAACGTGAGTGGTCATTGTTCAAAAATTGTTATTGAGTAGGATCTGAAGAGTACTTTAAAGAATGAGTAAAATGAAAAGAACAAGAATTCTGAGTAAGTGGAAGAAATATGAGAAAAGGCAGGAAGGTCAAAATAAGGAAGATATTTTTAAGTAAAATGTTAAGTAGAATTTTTATGTAGATTTTTAAAAAGATTTATTTTATGTATTTATGCATACAAGAGCTAGGGTATAGGCCAGAGGTGTGGGGGTGAGAGGATTCACCAGAGACAGAGTGAGGAGCAGAACAGGCAGATCCACTGAAATACATGGAGGGGAGCAGTGGGCTAGACAGGAGAGGTCTGTTGCACCGTGTATGTTAGCTCTCTGGCCTGGGCTCAAACTCAAGTTGCAGTGGCAGCCTATGGCTTCATAGTGCTGAGACTTAACCTCTTGCACCCCAGGGAGGCCCAATGTAGATGTTACAAAATAAATCAAAGAGATTGCAAAGAAATTTTTGACCACTTGCCTTCACAAGCTCCCAGGTGTCCCCTGAGTACTAATTTAGTTATTGGCCCAGAAAATAGATATCCAGTGACCACCTCTTTAGAATGATTGTAGTAGGTGTGTCTTTAGAATTTACAGGTAATCTTAAGTAGTATTCTCATTTTCATATGGATTACACAGGACAATTTGATACTTAATTTAATTCCTTTCATTTAAAGCAGAACACTAAACTATTTTCTTTTTTAAGTCCAAAAGAAGAAACAAATGTGGATGTACCATAGAATAATCAAATAGCTATGTTTTAAAAGAGGCATTTTCAAATTATGTGCTTCAATCACAAACATAGCCCAAGGATAATACATAATTATATTTAGCATCACTGGTTAAAGAGCACTAGTTTACAAATTTTAATCAGGTGGGGAGATTAACATATGAATAATTCTAAGATGAGGCCACATAAGTAGAAATGTCATTTCATGAATAAATACATTCTGTCTATTTTCTCTGCCTCTTTTGAATTCTTTGTCCCTGCTTTTGTCCATTTTCTAATCTGTTCCATTTTTCATGGTCCAAATTGGGTTTTAGGACCTTCTTTTCCTGGATAGTCAAATTTTCAAGATATCATTGCTCTTTTCAATGACAGATTGTTCCTTTTCTTCACATGCCACATTGGGCATAATGTTTTATTATATTTTCACTACAAAAGCAACTCTACTTATTATTGGAAATATATAAAGTCTAGAAAAATATGAGGAAAGCAAAATTCATAACACCTTCATTTTACGATAATAACAATTCTTATTTCTTGTGCCTGCATAATTTTTGAGTAAACATTTTTCACAAAACAATTTGGAAACTACATACTAGTAGGCATTAAGTAACTAGCAAATTCTAAGCTATAGCATAATGTTGGAGACACATATTTAGGTGTTGCACAAGAAATGTCATGGTTCCTCATCAATGGAAATTTGTATGCATCTCTTATTTCATGCAGAATGCAGTTCTTACCAACAAAGGGTGTTTATCTTCTACACCACGAACACAGCTGCAGTTCATTCATCTCTACACAGTGACGAAGGAGGGGCAAGCAGGACAGAAAGATTCAATTTGCAGCCTGAATTTTGCTGAGTATATTGAAGGGAAGCAAATTCACAGTACTCAAGGATGGGGTTTTGAAAAAAAAGTGCACAAGCAAAGACTTTGATTTAGTAATTAAGGCTCGAAAGTAAGACACAGACATTCCAAGAAAAACTGAAATGTGTGAGACAGGAAACAAGGGACTCACAGACTAGATGAAGGCTCTTAGCCTCTGAGATTAAGAGTTTTCACCATTTCTTTCATAAGTAAAAAATGGGACTCTTTTCATAATCAGTACTTATCCTCTTAGTTATTTGGATGTATCTACATATGGTAACTCTATATAGCTCTAATGTTGAATTATTATTTCAATCATAACAAATGCTTCTGTGTTATCATAAAATTCCAAGTTAAAAAACCTCTCTGTATTTTTTTTAATAAAAATACTGATGCCAGGTATCTAAATCCCAAAGTAAGAAACCAAAAAAGGATTTTCTGTGAAGAATTCTAAGTATGTTACATTTTTATTGCTATTATACTCCATGCAACATTTATCTCACCCCTTTTCACTTTTATACACTATAATATCCTTCTATTGACTAGAACAAACTGTGGAGAGTATCACAATAAGCATTTTTAGTGTCTTTGATATTTTAGAGAGATAGAATTACACAAATGATATAATAATCTCATCTTCTCATGTAAAACTTTTGTCACATTATCAAAATACTGTTGATACCTTCCAAATATTACCAATCTTCCAAACGTGGTCTTCTGCTGTAGCTCATATCCTCATCATCCTGCAGTTGGACTATTCTGGAGTTTATTTTTCAATCTGATATGAATGTATTTTATCTATTCTATTCTCATATTTTTATATTTCATTCTGTGTCAGGATAGACACACACACATTTCTTTACAGATAATAGAGATCATATAATACACATATATGTGGATGCATATGATATCCAACTATAAAGAAATATAACATCTATTCTGGCATATATTGGGGAAAAGAATGAGGAACTTAAGAGTCTATTGTAATTACCTTCTTTGTTCTGAATTACAATTTATACTCTTCAAAATTCTGTTCCATAATCACATCAGTAACCATCTCTGTGCATTAACAAATGGGCATAATGCTACCTGTCAGCCCCAGTACTAACGTATATCAAAGGAAATAGATTAATATTGGTCAAAATGTATGACAGCTCTAATTCAAGCAGCCATAAAAATTCACACTACTATTTTTCATCTTTAATACCTTTTTTAATTGCAAAGTTACAGGAATAATTGGTAAATGCTCTAACAATAATTTGACATCAATAATTTCCTCTCTAAAACATATATATATATATATATAATCTACAACTTGGCTCCCTCCCTATGTTTATATTTATGAAAAGGTAAGATTTCTATATATCGACAAGAAATATGCTGATTAATATATTCAGTAATCATAAATGTTATAAATTAAAATTAACCAATTTACTGGAAAAAAACAAACCCAGGCAGTTTGTTATCTAATCTTAACACTGACAAATGAAAAAATACTCAGTTTATACAATATGTCTCTTGGGTTATAGATTATTAAATATTTATCAAAAGCTTATTTTATGACTAGATGCTATAGACACTATAAAAAGTATTACCTAATGTTAAGGAACTGTTTCCAAGAAGAAATAACATTTTACTACATGACAACATGATATGTATTATCTTAAGAATTCTCTTGTGAAAGAATACTTAATATTCCACATTGAGCAAATCATAAATATCAGCAGGAGTATGACTATGATGGAACCAGAGAAAGTTGTATATAAGAGGTTAAATATTCAATTAACATGAAAAATAGATAAAACAATTTCAGATACAAACCTAAGATGATAGTTGTTTCGAGTGAAGCAAAAGACAGAAAATAAAAAGGATTGGGAATGTTAGAATAACAGTGACAACAATCAAAATATTTGGTATCAATATGGGAAAAGAAGGGGATGAAATATTCAAGTGTAGTTAAGAAACATTATAGAAGACCTTGAGTGCTACAGAAAGCAATACATGTCAAATGAGGAAGTAACAGAGAGACTTTTAGAATCTAGGGTTTCCCATTAGGAAAGCTGTATTCTAAAAGAGTGTAGGAAGCATTATAATCCGAAAGACTGAGACAGGAAATGATTGAGAAGCTACTTAAATCATCTGGCAGAGGAGTGACAAGAATAGTTTACACAAGAAAATTAAGAGAATGGCCTCCCTAGTGGTGCAAGGGGTTAAGCGCCGCACTATGAAGCAATCTGCAACCTCTGCAGCATGAGTTTGATCCCCCGCCCCCAGCAACCCACTTAGCACAGCAGACCTCTCCTGACTCCCCCGCTGCTCCCCTCAGCAGTGTACTTCCGACAGCCTGCCTCTTCTGTTCCCCAATCTGTCTCTGTGCCGCGGACCAGCACAGCAGTAGAGGATGAGGCCACCTCAGGGTTGAGAGAAGCATGCAGGGTGGTCAGGGCGTCGGTGAAAGAAATGACAAACAGACACACTTCAAGAGTGAAAATCTGAGTGTAATTTTCTTTGAATTTGTGCAGTATATATATGTTTTCCAAAAGCACAGGAACAATGAATATCAATGAAATCAGCTTGCTCATGGGCTCAGCCTATCACCAACAGGGCGGTGATCTACATCTGGACTCAGCCTCATTCCTAAGTAGATAGACCATTAGTTTTGTTTTTAAACTATATAATCGCATTTTTTATTAACTACTTTTTTACCTAAACTATATTTTAATTATTACAGGGTTTAGTAATGTTTCATTTGAGTCAGCCTTGTTTTAAGGATTTCATATGATTTTTTAATTAACAAGCAATGACCTTTATAGAAGAAAGAAGGAAGTTTAGAAAGACAATAAGGGATTAAAGTTTGTAGTTCTAGAAAGACAGGATAAGGTTTTTTAGCATTCTTGTAGTGGTTCCTGGTGGTCTTTATCTTTTGATAAGCTTCTGTCTTTTCAGGGAACTTTGCTGTACTTCCCCTGCTTCAGGGTGTTTTGCTGTTCTCTCCCTGCGCTCTGGTTGCCCAGCCCGACCTAGGGAAGGTTAGCCCTAAAGGTCACTGCAGGGGGAGGTGCAGCATCTCTGGTGAATCCTCTCACCCCCTGCATCTCTGGCCTGTACTCCAGCTCTTGTGTGCATACATAAATAAATCTTTAAAAAAAAAAACAGAATATTAAGAGGTAAACAAGAGTACAGAGAATACAAAAAATAGAACTAAAGATCCCAGGAGAAAGAATAAAAACAAACCCGGAAGAATGGCAATGCCATTACAAATAACAACTTATTAAGAAGGAAGTGCCAGTTTTACTACACATTCAACACATAAATAATCTGTTACTAGCTATATACTAGGTACTCTTACAGATGTTGGGTAGGGAGGGAGAGATAAGAGAGACAAGACCCATCTTTAAGGAGCTCACATTCTATTATAGAACACAAACCATAAGAACATGAAACAAGCAATTGTGGATATAAACAATGTCAGGTAGTATATGTATGATGAGGAAATTAAAGCAAATAATGATAAAGATAGAAGAGTAGTAAAAGAAGTGGGAGAAATTATTTCTAAAAGGTGACACTGAGTGGAGTCAATGAGGAGCAGATATCCAAGAGAAGAACATTTTAAGAGAGAGAAGGAAACTAATGCATATTTTGAACAGCAAGAAGTGAAACTAGCACTTCCTCCTTACTGATTTACACTTTTTAGTGGCATAACATGTTTCCGGATTTCCAGACTAGTCAAAGGAATGCAAGAGGGGAGATCAGAAAATAAGGGAAGCTTAAATAGTCAAGTGGCAGACCAAGTAATTCAGATTTTATTTCCAATCCAATGGGAATACACTAGAAGATCTTAAGCATTGAGTGAAAATAGGTATAACAATGTATATTTTATAGTACTCTTTTATTCTATCCAAAGGGATTAAGAAAAAAATCAGGGAAACCAACAGGGAAACTGATCAAGGACACTAGATTGAATTAGAATGGTAGTAGAGAAGAGAGTAAGAAGGGTATTTGAAAAATTGTATCAAAAAAAGTTAACAGGACTCAGAGGTGGAATTGATGTAGGGAGTGAGAGAGAAATCAAAGACAGTTTTCAAGGACTTGGAGTAACTAGCTGACAACGATGCAACTGGCAGATTATGATTATTGTTTCTCTTACTAGTAATATAAAATTTTAAAATTTTACTTTAGTTATGTGAAAACATACATTCGTAGAGGTTTGAATCCATGCCCATAAAGGAAATACAAAGAATAAAACCAACTTTAATGAATGTAAAAAAAAAAAAAAAAAAGAAAATGAGAAAACAGAAAACAATTTTATGGTAAACTTACAAAACAAAACTTAATAGATATGGAAATTTAGAATAAGAAGATATAAGACAAATTTAATTAGAGTTACATAGGAAATGTCAGAATTGTGAAGAAAAGACATTCAAGAAGATTAGAATTGATAATATTCCAGAACTGATGACAGATTTAAATATACAAATATAGGAACTAAAACAACTGCTAATTGGATAAAGAAGGTTGGTTAAATCACTGGTATTAAAGACAATGAAGCACCAGCACATTGGTAGAGGTCATTTTTAACACAGTAAGCAAAGCCTAAGCCTAGAAACAATATCTCTAAAATACTGATAGAAACAGCAAAAAGAGCTCTCAACGTACAAATGATGTATGTGGTCACACAATTTTAAAGATCAAGGACAAAACAGAGAAAATTAAATCAGAAGATCTTATCTGTCACCAACAGACTTCCTCTAGCTGAGTTTCCAAAATATTAATATATACTTCAGGAGGAAGAAAAGTATCCCAGAAATGTGTCTGAAATGCACTTAGAAAGGGGACAAATTCATAAACTCATGGACAAATCCAAATACTATCTGTATGATGTAAGAAAAATAATATTGTCCAAAAACTTATAAAACAGAAATGAACTATACTCAGAAACAACAGGAAACCAGGAAAAGTGGTCATCAGCAAAGCATTTTAAGTTCCTTGTATATTTCAGGGTGAAAGTGAATATTTTTTGGTATACTTGGTACAGAGAAAAACTGAAGGAGAAAATAATTTATAAGTAGACAAGAAAACAAGGAAACACAGGACTAGACAAAAAAAAGTACAAAATAAAAAAATAGAGTGAAAAGAGATAAACAAATTGCATAATTAAAAACTATTCAAAATATTTAAGATGTAAATAATAACTAAAAGCTAGTGTAAAAATATATGAGTGTATATTAATTTAAAAATTTGTAAGTAAAATCCAACCATTTTACTAACAGAAACTGAAGAAAAATCAATAAGTTCACCCTACTTTGGAGTGTTCAAAAGATAGTTCTACTAAATAAAGCCAGTAAGGAGTAAGAAAGAAAGATTGGATATTAAAAAAAAAATAATAATGACAAGCTTGATTTATGGACAGGTAGAGAACTTGGTGTCTTATAGAAAACTCAAATCCTTCTTAAGTGTGTATGGGCTATGTGGAACAATTACTCATTAGATCTTGGAGAATTTTAAATTTTTATCCCTTTTTCTTCTTTTTTTTTTTTTTTTTTTGTGGGACCCTTGCCGATGGCTGGGGATCGAACTGGTGCTGCAGAGGCTGTGGGCAGCCTAGCAACCCAGCGCTTAACCGCTGCGCCACCAGGGGAGGCCCTTTTATTTTAAGATAACCAGGATACTATTACCATGTCTTGATATGATCAAAAGATTCCTTCCTCTGAATAATTAAAATAAATGCATTCTCCACAACTATTTTAAATCATAAGATTTTTGAATACCAAATCCTGTATATAAGAGTATATTTTAATATATCATTTTCTGGAGTAATGAGGAGATATTTTACCTTGAATTAAGCTGATATTTTTCAATGTCTGAGAATGTTCCCAGTCTTTCAGTCTGAGATCATTAGTGATGTTATTCAGTAGTTTTACTTCTCCTTTTATTTCCTGTTCCAAATGTTCTTGTTTTTCTTTCACAGACATAATTTCTGCTGATGCATTGTACACACGCTCCTCTAATTTTTTTATCTCCTGTGAAATACAAGTATCCACAATTCTGTTATACATGTAATTCTCAAATATTTAACTTTGAGAAGCTCTGAAAGTCAGGTTTTTCTTTTAAGATATAATACCACAGGAAGATTATGGAATACAAACATGGAAATTAAAGAATGCTTTAATGGTAATTCTTTTTATTTTTTTTTTAATACAAGCACTGGGTACAGTCAGAAGCGCAGGAGGGTGAGAGAATTCACCAGAGCCAGGGCAGGGAACAGAACAGGCAAACTGACGAAGTACACTGCTGAGGGGAGCAGCGGGTCAGGAGAGATCTGCGAGCCCTGTGGGACCCTTGCCCAGCGGCGCCACCAGGGAGGTCCGATAATTCTTTTTTGACTGAATGGCTGAAGTTTCACACACCTCTCCCTACAAATCAGTTGAATATATGAGAGCTATGTTTCTATTCCCAATTAGATAGATGTCAAAATACACCTGTGTTCTTCCATCTTGCCAATCTTTTCCCTCATTTCATTTCACTGTTCTGTTTTCAAGTGATATTTCTTTTTCTTTCCTTCCAACTGAATTAGTTACTACTTCTAAAACTGATATTTTATTTACGTCTGTCTCCACATTCTTCAAGACTATGGACAGTTTTTTTCCTTTTACATTTTCTCTAACCTTTCACACCCTCAGTCTTTGATATTTCCATAGCATTTTCAATGCTTGGATACTTATTAACCATATGGGAAACACTGACATTCAGATTTTGGAAGATGTGACATGAAATAAACATAGAATATCAAGGCTGGTATTGTGTTTGAAGTTCAACAGAATTCCCATATTTAAATATCAATGCCATGGCCTTCTATCATCTTAAGATAAGAACCATGTAAAAAATGTAAAAGTTCTGAGTGATTGCACTTTATAATAGTAAAGATCTAGATTATAATTTCCTTTATTTACTTTACAAATAGTAATTATGTAGATTATTCTTTGTCAATTTGTTTAGTCTACTCTCTATTCAATATTTTACTTGATTTTCATTTGACATTATTGATTTTAGAGACATATCTTTACTCAATGGCACCCATTTTTAAAAATCTCTACTGTATAATATTATATCTATACAGAAAATAAATCCATCAATTAAGAACGGGTCTATTCAAGTAATATCTACTACAAAAATCCCATCAGTGGTTAGCTAGTAAGGGTAATTTTGTACACTTTACATTATGATTTTAAACCTTAAATATTTTGTAATATAAAAATTAGCTTTTCATATAAATAGTGAAATTTTAGTTATTTGTTAATTTTTCATTGAGATGAAAAATTGTAATTACCCAACATAAATTATAATTTTTCAAATAAATAGCTTGCTTCTTAATTTCTTTCTCATAAATATAAAGTAACATAAAAGGGTTGGCCACAGGATACTCTAGAGCAGAAATGAGAAAAGAAGAAGCAATGGACTGAAGACTGTTTTTGAAAATAAAAATTAATTAGACCACACCTTTACACATATGTCTACATATTTTTTATGGCTGCTTTTGTGCAACAATGATAGAGTTGAGTTGCTGTAACAGAGACTGTGTGGTCCTTAAAGAGTGAACTGTTTATCTGGCCCTTTGTCAAAAAATTGTTCTAGAATATGTCATGTTCTCTCGTCTTGTATATTTTATCCTATCCTGATAATAAACTTGTTTGCATTGTTCCAAATTTAATTCTGTAATATAGTTATCTTTACATATAAAGACTTACAGATAAATATTGGGAGTGGCAAATATACTATACAGAAACTTAGATTTTGTAGGTTATCCATGTAAGTAAGATTTCCATTCCTTTGATGATGAAGAAATTTTGGATCTGCTGTAAAGTTTACAAATACAGATAAAATTTACAAATCTCTCAAGATTTCTTAAGATTATATAAATTTGATTGGTTCAGACAGTTTAAAGAAGTATCTAAGAAGGGCCTCCCTGGTGGCATAGGGGTTAAGACGCAAACTATGAAGCTGTCTGTGGCCACTACAGCAAGAGTTCTATCCCCCTGCCGGCCAGGGAACAACCCACATGGCGCAGCAGACCTCTCCTGACTCATCCACTGCTCCCCTCAGCAGTGTGTTTCAGTCAATCTGCCTGTTCTGTTCCCCACTTTATCTCTGGTGAATCCTCTCACCTCCCCATACCTTTTCCCTGTACCCCAGTTCGTGTATGCATAAATAAATCTTTAAAAAGAAGTATCTAACAAGAATTATAAAATTAAAATTCTCTAAAAGAGTCAATATCCTATTAAAAAAAAAATCCCCACTTTACTGGGAATCTAGAGAAGGCATTTGCTAAATATACTTCAAACCCTCTTATAAGCTTGTTAGAAGAGTCAACATAAATAAGATGATGTTGACAGAGGTTTTGCAACATTTGTTTTCCTGGACTACCTGAGAAGATAGGATCTAGACAGATTCAAACCCAGCAGGTGACCACTCTACACAAAAAATCTTACCTCTCCTTGTTTAAATGTATTCTCTTGGATTTTGCTATTCAGTGTTTCAATATTGAGTTGCAAATCAATCAATGTGGTATTCAGACTTATTAATGACTTGGACATCTCATCTATTGTGTTTCCATGTCCCTTGGCTGTGGAAACCAAGGTACTTAGCTGGAAGAAAAGATCATTAAATCTTTGGTCATTCATCATACTGAAATTCTGGAAATTCTCTGATTTGACGAGATTGGATTCTGATTCTGAAATATATTGGATTTTCTTTTCCATGTTGTTCATTTTCTCTGCAACTTGAAATCTCATTTCATCTTCATAGTTGTTTCCTATTCCAGTGAGATTTTGAGATACGCCATTCACATTCTTTGAAATGACTGAGCAATTCTTCATTTCCCAAGGCAGGAATTGAGCTGCATATTTAAGTAAAAGTAAACAGTCATGACCTACATCTAAATGCATACACCATTCCATTACACACCATTTTATATCACTCACTTTTTATCATTTCATTCCCATCCACTCTAACATTCTGAATACTATTCTAAAAGAGATTTATTTTTATTCTTTTAATATAAATAATCTGTATGACAATAGATATATTACTGAGAGTAAGCAGTACCCTTTTTTTTTTCCTTTTTTTTTTTTTTTTTAAAGATTTATTTATTTATACATACAAGCACTGGGTACAGTCAGAAGCGCAGGAGGGTGAGAGAATTCACCAGAGCCAGAGCGGGGAGCAGAGCAGGCAGAAGGACCGAAGTACACTGCTGAGGGGAGCAGCGGGCAGCAGGAGAGGTCTGCGCGCCATGTGGGACCCTCCCCTGGTGGCCGGGGAGCAGCCGGGGATTGAACCGGCTCTGCAGAGGCTGCGGGCAGCTTCGCAACCCAGCGCTCAACCGCTGCGCCACCGGGGAGGCCCGAGTAAGCAGTACCCTTTATCCACTCTCATAAGAATTTATTACAGGATTGTCATTTTTCTTTGAGTTGCTGCTTATATGAATCTTTTGGTCATTGCAGCTGACTCTTCTGTAAGAGAAAATTCTAGAGTATGAAGTACATTGTATCTTACTTCTCCAGCCTCATCTTAGGATAAAATGACTTAATGGTTAACATAGTATCTGAAATAAGCATGTTTGATAGGTTAGCTATTTAAAGATAAATGACGAAGACAAACATAATAGTATGTTGTAAAAATATAATATTAGTGTTCTCTATTGTATGAATACAGTTGTTTCATATTTCACATCCTATTGCTAAAACTGAAAGAGAACTGTCACTTACAGATTATATATGCCTAATTTACAGCAGGTAAAAAATTAGGCAAATAAGTTTTCTTAAATATTATTTTTATAAGACTCTCTTTATTTATTGTGAAACATATATATTCCTAGCAGAAAAATTGAAAATATGAGTAATAGTAAAATACTATCAAGCTCACCATCTTGAGTTAACTGTTGTCATTTTGATATGTATAGTAAATCTGGCTCTGTTTCCAAAATCATAATATTTTTACAAAAACAAGATTACATTTAATAAGTACTTTGGAAACTACTTTAAATAAGTACTAACCTTAAAGAATTTAATATTATTTACTATTGTTTGAAAGTAATTTTAATAATTATATTTTATTTTGGGTACAGACCTATTTTATTTAATAAAGTGTAACCACTTAGTTTCCTTCTATTTTCACTAATGTAAATGCTTTGATGAACAAACTTGTGACTGATTATTTTCTAAAGAAAAAATTCTATTAAAAGGTATTTGGGTGATATTCAGAGGTATTGATATATATTTCCAAATAAGCAAGTGTTTCTAACTAATCATTCTGAAAGGATCTAGAGTAGTGTGTTCATTGTCTTAAAAAATAAAAAGCATAAACATTAATTTTGCAGATAAAATATAATTACAGGCAATAAAGAAAATGTTAAACATCTTTTTTATCACTAGTCAGTAAATATTAAGATCTGATTATATCGTTTTCCCTATCTCTTTGTATATTTATTGCTACTATTCCTATACACATATGAATTCATATACACATATGAATATATACATACATACACACACATACATATATACACATTTATATAAGCCTCTAATTTCTTTTTTGTTGAATTCCATATTTGATCATAATTGAGCTATAAAGAACAACCTCATATGGTTAAAAAATATGTGTTTTATAAAATATCAGCAATGCTCCCCAAGTGGCCTGGTAATGACAATGGTGTTGTGAATCACTGGTTTCTAAATTCTATCCCTACACCAGTGCAGAGAAGGCTACCTCAGAAAAAAAAAAAAAAAATGTCAGTTTTCTTAATAAAATTGTTATGGCCAGAGTACCAGTTTCATATGTTTTTCAGAATTAAATGACATAACAAGAAAACATTTAGTTCCACTCTTCACTAAGAGTAGTTGTAGAAACGAGAGCTTAGAGTTACAGTATCCAGCTCCTGGAATGTAGTTTCACTCAATTATCATCTAGGTTATTCTGGGTGAGTTCCTTATCTTGTACTTTCTTAGGTTTCCTGAATGATCTAATACAATAACTATCTCAAAATTGTGGTGCTGAGTGAGGATAAATGAGATAAGGCACATGAATCTCCTAAGATAAACAGGGTACAAGTGAAAACTATTGAAATTAAAGTACCAAGATTTCAGGGAAGATGGTGTCAGAAGCTCCCTGTTTCATTCCCAGGAGGATAATCTAAGGTTGTTCTGACGAGCACTGACTTCAAGGATCCCATGACTTGGGATGAAATGGAGCACCTCCTGTATATTGGAGACCCCCACTGAAGGTGACAGAAGGGACACTAAGGAAATTCAACTTTACAAACGAAAGGCAGATAAAGAGGGGCTTCAGAGACTGCAGTCAGGTAGGAGGGTCTGCAGTGAAAAATACAGCATATGGGGTAGCACTGTCCCTCTCCACCCCTTTGGAACACAAACTGATCCTGTAAAGCAGCACTGAGAACCTAGCACCAGATGCAGACACACGTCTTAAAACCCAGAGAGGAGGGCTATTAGGGGTACCACAAATGCAAACTGCCCGTGCATACTACTTTCACCGGTGACTGGATACATCCAGGTCACTCACCCAAGGCCTGATTCAGCAGTTACAGATCAGTTCTCCCCAACATGCACCTCCATTTCCTAGAAAAGTGGAAGATCTGCATTCTGAAGACACTATGTCAACTTAAAAAATATGGCAACTTACATAACAATGAAATGCTGAAATGGAAAAACACAATACATGCCACATATAGTCCGCAAGGGAATATTTCGCCACAGAGAGAACAAATCTACAGAGTTCAACCACATTGATATGGAAGATCTTGCCTTCCTATCAGATAGAGAGTTCAAAATTACCACAATAAAGACATTCAAAGGAATGGAAGAAAAGTGATAAAAGATATATAAGAAAACCCAGAAAAACAAATGAAAGTTTTTAAAAATAAAATGAACAGATGATTGAAATTGAATCTTTAAATAAGTAATTAATGGCAATGCAGAATGTAAAAGGATCATTAGAGAAGATTAAACAACTCTGGAGAAAGCTATGGAAGCAGAATAGAATAAATGGAAGATCATATCAGTTATCGCAAATGGTAATGCACAAAGTATCCAGGTGGAAGAAGAAAAACAAATGCAAAGAAAAAAACATGAAGAAACACTTCAACAATTACCTGGCCCCATAAGGAAAGGCAATGAGAGAATGATGGGTATTCCAGAAAGGGAAAATCTACCATCTGATTCATCGTTTCTGCTCCTAGGTATCTATCTGAAGAATGCAAAAACACTAATATGAAGGGATATATGCACTCCCTTCACTGGGAGTTATTATAACTAGATATGTTCTAGATATAATATAACCTAGATATAACCTAGATATGTTCACTGCAGCACTATTTATAATAGCCAAGCTATGGAAACAAACTAAGTGACCAAAGACAGATGAGTAGATTAGGAAATTATGGTATACACAAAATGGAATACTTCTAAGCTATAAAAAAAATGATAAAATTATTGACTTTTGCAACAACATGGATGGAACTGGAGGGATTATGCTAAGTGAAATGAGTCATGAGGATAAAGACAAATACCAGAAGTTGTCATTTATATGCGGAATACTGCAAACCAAAACAAAGGGTCAGGTAAAATCAAACTATTAAGAAATCCTAGAAACCTGACTATAAAATTTACAATACCAGATGGGGAAGAAGAGTAGGAAGAACAAAGAAGAGAGGAAAGAACAAAGTCACAGTGAACTATGGTGGAGGACTTTCAATGCCTTAGTGGGTGTGGTGTGGTGTGGTAACAACATCTGAAGTGTGTGAGCCTGTACTTCTAAATCACATAAAATTTTGTAAACCAATGATATCTCAAAAGCTAAGGATCCTTACTAACACTAAATTAAATGAAATTGAACAGAACTACCAGGATATATCAACTTAGCATTGAGTAGTTTTATACCAGCACTTACATATATATCTATATATCTCTTCTAGGTATGCATAACTCTATTTCTTATTTTGAATTGTGTCAAAAATTTTGAAAGCTCCTGGCTGCATGGATGCATGTTGTGGATATATTTTAACCCCACAAATTCCATTTTTTAAATTAATTAATGCTTTGAAGTTACAATGCACTATAATATACAAGTTTCAGGTGTGCATTATTATCCATTCAGTTTTGAATAAAGAAATATTGACTGATTACAAAAGAAAAAAATTAAAGTATCTTACATATTTTTCATGAACATTATTATCTTAATCCTAGAGAACATTGTCTTCAACACCTTTAAAGAAACTGATTTATTATGGTTGCTATTGTAGATTTTATATACTACAAAGTAAGTATTAAGATATCATGCAAGTTAATCCCAATAAAAAAATCATATTTTCCCATTACATTGTTTTTAAAGTTAACATATTTAATAAAAGTATGTAACCACCTTTTTATATCATTCACAACAAAGACTACATTGAGTATGCATCATTTTATGTAATTTATCAGTAAATTGGACAGAAAATATATTTCTTAATTAGATCTCACCACATTTACTAAATTTAGAATGTGTGCCAGTTTTCACTGGACAGTCTCATTTATGTATCCATCAACTCTCTATGGTTTATTTTTTTATACTATATCTATATCTGTCTATCTATCTATCTTAGCACCATTAAATTAACTATGGGAATAGAACACCGATTAGGAATAGATTTTTAAATTAATAATTGAAAACCCAAACTAACAAATTTTACAAAACTATTTCAAAATTTTCCCTTAAAATTGTCCTTTTATGATAATTACTGCTTCTTTTAGGTAGCAGTTACAAAACCCAGGTTTTGAATTAGAGTCTTGTGGGTTAGCAATTCTTGCCCTTTCCTTTGTTAAGTTGTGACCTTGGGTAAGTTATTCTGTCAGCTCTTCTGTTTAACTGTTTATAAAAATGGGATACTTATAGCTATGTTTAAATAATTATATGAGCTAATAGTTAAAAGTGCTGAGATCACCTCCTGGACTATAATAGGCATTTGATAATTTTCAAGTTTTTTGTTATTATTAATATTTTGGATTCAATATCTGTGATTTATACAGCTCTTTTTCCAATATTGGTAATGGCAGGAATTAATATAGTATAATAGAAAATTTTCCAGTGAACATAGTAGTCTTTGTGATTTATTCTACTAAGCAGATTGATCTCATTGCTTAACAATATAATTTTACATTCACTGAAAGAAAATTCTATTTCATATAGATAAAGCAAATCTTTTCATAGGATGGAAAGGGAAAACTTGGTCTGACAAAATATCACATGACCAAACATTTATTTTTAGAATTTCATGAACACATTTTTAGTGAGCACCTACTAAGTACACCAGTCACTGTTCACAGAGCTGGTGATACAGCAGAAGACAAAACATAAATAAAAAAAAATTAAAATTTCTGCCCTTTCAGAGCTCCTGGAGCTTACAAGCTAGTGAAATTAAAAAAAAAAAAAAAAAAAAAAAACTAACTCATGGGAGAAATGATCAAGTTATAAGCCAAAGAACAAATCTTCTGAAAAGAAACAAAAGGCATTCCCTTCATGTTTAAGTCAGGAAAAAAAAAATGAAGTCACCCCAAAAGACAGCTTCCTGACCCATGCCTGAGAGCACAAAGGCTCGCTGTTTCCCCTCTACCATAGTCATGGTGGAGAGGACATGCACAGGGCTCCCCCAGGAGGGTACACCAGGGCATATATCTATCCCAGAACCAACAGCATTTCCAGTCAAAGAGTAAAGCAACGGCTGTGCAAGAATCAAGACAATCTCAAATATGAAACTCAATGAAGAGTTACATGACTTGCAGGTCACATAAAATAAACATGAAACCAATATTAAAATGTTTACAGCACATAGTCAAGATATTAAAATAAGGATGGGGAAATGATTTTTTTGCTGGATTCTTAGCCAAAAAAATGATAAAATAGAAATTGACTATTTAAAGGTAAAATTTATGACTAAGCATTTTTATTTGACATCAAGTTTAACATGAATTGACAATAAAGGCTAGATTTTGTTTACAGATTGAAAACACAACATTACTTGTTTTCCCAAATCCAGAAATGAAAACTATTTTAATTCTTTCTTTAAAATTTGTAAACTATTTTTCTGTTCATATTTTCAAGTGTTATTTTCCTTCATTATCTTAAGATAGATGGCATTTTGTGACTTACTTTTTATTTCATATCTGAAGAGACAAACTTGCATGGTTTGTAGAAAGAATGAGAGGTATATCTGCTTCTATAAATAACTTTACTTTTTCATGCTGCTTATATCTTCTATTAGCAACCAAAATTTTATATTATTTTGAGCTAAAGAATTTTAAGTATATCAATAATAATTTATGTATATGTATATAGTAATCCTAGGTCATACTTTGTTGTCCAGAGATATTATTATATTGTTATACTATAACAGAGACTCAACTTATTCATGAAAAGATAGTAATTGGAATAAATTTTATAATTAAGAAAACATCTTTCAATGTAAAAAAAGGTAAAGAGTTTTTATTTTTATTTTTTTAAAGATTTATTTTTATTTATACAAGAACTGGGGTATAAGCCAGATATGCAGGAGAGTGAGAGCATTCACCATAGAGAGTGGGGAACAGAACAGGTGGAGTAACTGAAATACACTGCTGAGGGGAGCAGCGGGCAAGACAGGAAAGGTCTGCTGTGCCATGAGGCTATCTCCCTGGCCAGGATTGAACCTACGCTGCAGAGACTGTAGATAGCTTCACAGCACTGCGTTCAACCACCTGCACCACCAGGGAGGCCTAAAGAGTTTTTATATGGAGCTTTTTCTTTCATTCATCAGTTTAAATAGATAAATTTCAATTATTTTGGGGATATATTTTGTATATATTTGTAATTTATGATATCAAGTAGAGATGAGATATGTATTGAATTTTACTTCCACTTTGGAAAATATTCTGATCTACAACTTAAATTTGTAAGTGGACCATCCATTGTTTATTATTCAAGTATGACATGCACATTGAAATCTGTTCCAAATTTTGGTAAATTGGGTGCTAATGTGGACTCATAAGAACTGAACATTTTTAGCTTCTTGTCAATCTTACTGGGTACCTGTTGCAATTTTAGGAAACAAATTACTTCAATTATTTTCAATGCTAGAACAAGTTTGTTGACTTGGTAGTATTTTCTAATAGCTCAGAGACTTTGAACATGGCTAGAAAGCGGAATTCTTTTTTTAAATTATTTGATTTTTAATTGATCTATTATTTGGATACTATCATCAAGTATTACCACCTATAGTCCACCACCATAGTCCATTTGCACTTTCTTCTTTCTTTGTTCTTACCCCTCCCCAATAAAACCCCTCCTTGAGTCTTCAGTTCTGTAGCCAGCCTTCAAGGGTTAGTTTTTAAGTGTGTCTTTATCTGACTCTTAGATTAGTTATTTTATATTCCACATGAATTTTTTTAGACTTCTGTCCTCATTCTGCAAGGACCATTAAAAGAAGTTGGACTCTCTGGGGTGGGTCATGGTTTGTTTAAAAATGGTACATGTGGGTCTCCCTGGTGGCTGAGGGGTTAAGTCTCAGTGCTATTCCCACTACTGCCTCAGTTCTATCCTGGCCAAGAAGCTAACAGTCAAATGGCACAGCAGACCTCTCCTGTCTTGCCCTGGTGCTCCCCTTAGCAGTGTATTTCAGTAAATCTCTGCTTCACATTCTGTCTCTAGAGAATCCTCTCATCCCCCACATCCCACACCTATGGCCTACACCCCAGTTCTTCTATGCAAAAAATTAATAAATAAATACATTTGAGAAACTGTGATATGTTTTCCTTTGATGCTCCCAAATACAAAAACCAGAATATTTCTTTTTGGTTCTACAATAACTAACTCCTGAGGTGAGATGTTGAGTTTCAGAAATCTTGAATACTGTACCTGCCATTATTCCAATGACAGGTATGAGTACTGCAAACACAAGGACATAAAGGGCAATTAGTGCAGCTTTGAAGGACTTCAGTTTCTCCTGAAGGGCATGGCCATTTTTAGGACCTGAAAAAACAAAAACACAAGATGCTATTAGAAAACTTAATTTTTTATTATCTTCAGTCCTTATTGTTACACTCAGCCCTATTGGAAGAAAAATTATATGTAACAATATAAGAAGCAATTATATTGTTACTACCAAAGCTATTGGGGACAAAGCAAAATAGGTCCTCATTTTTTTCAGTGGGAAGTAAGAGAGATAGTGACAAGAAAAGTCAAACATATATCACTGTGGACATCTGATTTACTTATCTATTAATTAAACATGCATGAAAATGGCACTATCCCCTACAAGTTGTCCTTGTCTCATTTTGAGGCATTAGTTGGTAAACTTTCATATTGATATCAGCATATGCAAATATGTACTTTATCCCTTTTTCATATAGTAATATATTATGGGTGAAAATAAAATGGATCAGGTTACTATTCATTCTGAACTTTTTTTCAGATTGTAAATCAGGCAAGAGGAACATTTTCTTTCAATAATAAGTATGCAGGATAATTTTCTTTTCAATTCTATCTTAATAATTTTATATTTAGATACATTTTATGCTTTAAATACAATGCAAAAATTAAATAACAAACAAAATCATTCACACTTTGACTAAACTTTGGAATGGATGAAGTCCAGTCTCTGGATATTTCAGAATATATTACTATTTTGTCCATTAAAAATTTCTCTCCTGTGACCATTGCTTTTACTGTTCAATAAGAAATAAATTTTATTTTTAAGTTGTAAACCCTTAAGTTTAAAGCCAAAATTTAGACATTGTTCAGCAAAGTTCTATGAGGGAATGAAAGAAATAGAAAATTCTTAAAATAATTTCTCTATATTTTACCTTTTAAATCATTCTCACAAGTCTCTGTTGCCTTTCCTCTGTTCCCAATTCTTCTGTCCTTCCAAAGCTCTCAACATCTCTACCTTTAACAGCTGTTACTATTATCTTTTCTCCTTCTTCCTCATACTCTCCCCTCTTTTGTTTGCACAGCACAAGAGATTCATCAGACCTTGAAGCTGCAATCTGTATTCTAGGTTTGTCTATGTCAGAACTCACATACAATCCTGTTACTTTGTATATGTGTCTCTATGGCCTCTCACCAACCACATCCCTTCCCCTTGTTGAAATGTGTTTTAGGCTTAATAAAATTATAAGACCTCTGTCCTGCTGTCTTAAACAAATCTGCTCTGATACAGCCAAATACTGTTTCTTAGGAGCTCTTGCTATAAACTATACCAGCATCCATTTCAGTTCTGCAGGGGTTTGAATTGCGTCTCCAAAAAAGACATTATTGAAGTCTTCATTCCAGGTACCACTGATTGTAACCTTATCTGGAAATAGAGTTTTTGTAGGTATAATCAAGTTAAGAAGAAGTCATACTAGATTAGGGAAGACTCTAATCCAGTGATGAGTGTCCCTATCATAAGAGGACATGTAAAAACAGGAAGTTCATGTGAAAACAGAGGAAGATATTAGATTGATGAAGTTACATGTCAAGGAACACTGAGTATTACTAGGATTCCAGTATTCCACTAGAAGCTAGGAAGAAGCAAGGAAAGAGGCAAGGGAAAATTCTTCCCTAGAACTTCAACATTAGTATGGCTTTGTTATTACTTTGATTTTGACTTCTGACCTTCAGAAATGAGATATTGATAATGTTCTGTTTTAAGCCACCCAATTTGTGGAAATTTGCTACAGTAGTCCTAGGAAACAAAAACAAGCACTTAATACCCATGTTTTTCAAGTATTAATTCATGGTGCTAGGGCATAGTCATCTCCAGGACTTAGTCCAGCAAAGAAATTAGTCCACTGAGAAATCAAAGAACTTAATCAATGTTCTGAACTACTTTAATCTATGACAATACTTTGTTACTTCAGTTAATTTTTATTCAGTCCCAGGAGAAAAGACTATTCATCCAGAAAGTGTTGTTTTAACATACATACACATATAAGATAAGTCTCAAGACTATCACTTCACATTGTGTCAATAACTTTAAAGACAATCCTAGGGCATCCTACTCTTTTTCTACTTACTCAGAGGAAGCAAAGCTGTCATTGTGTGAGCATCAAATTTCACAGAATCTGAACAGCTATCAATGTCCTCCTGATGGTTGGGAAAACCTTCCCACTGTTCCATATTTCTACAAAATACACAGAAAAATACATGGATTACACATTAACTGTCTAGGCCCTTTTGGCATTATGTCTCAAATTGAAATTCCTAATTAAAATACTATTTTAGCAATGCCACAAAATATGATTAAATTTACATATCTAAGTAAAGTTTTAATAAGTAAAGTTTTAATTTTAATATTAAAAGGCAGACTTACATGGACCCTACTCATAAATCTTTCTATATGTAAATGAGTACTTGAATTTATAGGTGTGAGTTTTTCAGAAAGGTAACTTTTTTTACTTACCTAATGAAATATTTTTCTGTGACAGAAAACAACTGATTAGCTAAAAAGAAAAAAAAAAAACAGTTTCCCTTAGAAAAAATAGTTTTGCAAAATTTGGAGCAAATATTTCCTGTAATCTTTTATTAGAGGTTCTAGATAGACCAAATAGTTATGCAAATTTTAAAGTAAATATTTCCTGTGATCTTTTATCAGAGCTGTATGAGCTAGATATTCTTTTGCCAAGCCATCTATTTTATTACTTCAGAAAGATAAAGTCACTACTCAATTACGAGCCACAGGAAAAATTTGCTTTTTTATTTTTCTATTTTTTTTTTAATTGAGGTGACATTGGTTTACAACATTGCATATGACTTAGAGGTATGGCTCACACTCTTTAGGTGCATGATGCCATAACACCCCTCCCACAGAAACACCCAGAGTCCTCCACCATAGTTATTGTGTTCCCACCTCCACTTTGCTCTCCTCTGGTAGCCTCAATTCTACATGCAGATTTCAAGGTTTGTTACTGGGTTGCTTTATATGACTCTTTGCTCCTCTGTATTCCACATTAACATGATACCATCCAGTATTTGGCTTTCTCCTTATTTCTTTTCTTTCTCATATTTTTCCTCAGTTTCTCTCATATATTGGTGACATCACAGATATGTCCTTCCACTTTCTAAGCACAATTTACATTGTGCTTATGTCACAATCTATGCCTATGTTTCTTTAAGATGCATCAGAATCATTTGGAAGGTTTGATTAAAAATAAGACTGATGAGTCTCACTCCCAGAGTTTTTGACATTTGGAGAGGAGGGTCAAGAATTTGCAATTCTAATACAGTCTCAAAAACTGTTGCTGCTGCTAATCTGAAGAACACATTTTAAGAATATTTTCCATCCTAAGATGTTATATGGCTTTTCATTGGAAACAGTTCCATTTGTTTGATTGACAAATTTAGCATAAAGCCAACATTGTCTGATCATTTCTTATTTTCTCTAAAGCTGAATGATGAATTTAGCACAGCCAAAGTTTTAACTGAGTGCTCTGGCAGCCAGGATACCAAAACTACATCTTGTCCAGGAAATGAAGGACAAACATTCATATGCAAATGTTTACTCTGGGGAGAGGTATTGACAAGGCTATGACTTGACTTCTGTCAATATGTTTTAAAATATTACCCAGGAAATTATTTTGCCATTTTCAATGACAATCTTTGTATGTGTATCATTTTGTAGACTGGTTCTGCTACATATAAATCCTGTTGATCTGATCAAGGTCTGTGTTCCTTGGAGGATTGGGTCACCTTGGAGGAAGGAGGCAGTGAGGGAAAACATGGGACTTATATTCTCTTTTCTCAGGCAGAGACAAAGTAAAAGAAACAATTATCTGGGAAAATTGACTGTTATAAGAAACTAAATTGGGTAATTTATATCCAGACTCTCCTGGCATTTCCCCTTTTTTAATTTACTCTATTACTTGATTTAGATGACAGTTTTACTTGCCAAGCAAAACAAGTGAACAAATAAATGATTTTTAAAAACTGAGATGACAAGAAAGTTTAACTAAATTCATTTAAAAGCTGTAGTTCAAAGCACTTGGGAATACATGGCAAAGCTTTTTAACTTTGAACTCAGTTTGTAAAGGATAGACTCACATAGTATTATTTATCTACATCTACTATGTAATTAGACATTTTTTTCTTTTCTTCCTATTTACTGGCCCTTTCTTCATGTGTCTGTCTATGGCTCTGGTCCTAATATTTAAGATATTATTACTCTGTTTTCATCTAAATAAAAAGAAAACATCTCATATTATTGACTTCTATCTAGGAATATTTTTTATAAAAAGGTAAAACTTTTTAATCTGTAAATCTTCCTAGTCTGTGAAATATATAAGAGGAGAATCTAAACTGCTTCCCAATTCATTACATCCATGATACAGGAGTTTTTATTTCTGGTTCAATGACCAGAGAGTTCCTGGCATTTAGTAGATACTCATCAGATTCACAAATAGAGTACAAGAAATCATAAATACCTCAAAGACAATAGACTTTATTCACCATCTCCAGTTATGCTTCAATAAAAGTTCATATTTCACTAATGTGGAAATTTAAAAATTCTGCAGTTACATGTTTGGAAATAAGCTTTCTCTCTGAATTGTTTGTAAATATGAAATGGAAACAAACAAAAAGAAAACATGGTTGTTCTAATTTTGTTTCAAAAGCTTTCATTAGACTTCATAGATTACCTCAATTCTTCACTCTAATTATTATCAGTGTAATCCATTTTTTGTCGAGAACATACACTTCAAGCTTTGTTAGCAGTTAGTGATGAATTCACACAATTCAAATGTACCTTTGAGTTCATTTCCAAAGCTTAGAGTAAAAATAACTTCACATAAAGTTACAATTCTTGCCAAATGTCAATGCACTGACAAAGGATTGCAAAATCTTTGGCGTCTGTATAGCCTAGTAAGAGCATGTTTGCATGAGAAGTGAAACACATCTCTGCAATATCAGCTTTTATAAAATGGGTCTAAAGTTTACAGAAGCTACAGCAGGAAAGCCATAATGAAAGAATTTCCATGCAGATTTAGTTAAATTACAATCCATGAAAACATGACCTTTATTTGTTCCTGATTTTATTTCAATGATATTAAAGAATCATTGGGACAAATTTCTATCATCCCATCAACTTAATATGAGCGGAAAAAAACCTTCAAATATATTCTTAATTATGTAGCCATTTTCCTATAATCTAATTCTGTTTTTAAATATTTTCCTCTTCTTTAGAGAGCAATGTTTTACTAATAGAGATAATGATGTTGCAAATATTTTCACAATTTAACTTATCATATGTTGAACTACATGGTGTTGGGAAAACTATTATAAAATTTATATCTATTTTCTGACTTCTCTTTAAAAAGACTACAAATTTACCAAGTTTCCAGCCATAGATAAGTATGGTAGTTTTAAACCAGATTCACCATTGTTCATTAATAATTTTTTTAAGAATCATTTAGATTTTGATAAGAATTAAATGATATCTCAGCTGGCTTCTATTAGCATTTTTTTATTAGTGTGACAGAGGCATTTCCATGTAATTATCATTTTTTTTCTTGGGTTATTATTTATTCATATTTATTGCTTATACATCCCAAGGGTCTCTTTCTTTATATAAATATGAATAAACTTTGAAATGTAGTATATATCTAGTGCACATTCTTTCTTCTAAGGCTGTTTCCTATTCAAATTTGCCAAACTCTTATGGATAATTTCATCTTTAAGATTTGAGGTAAATAATTACTATGTAATCTTCCATATTATTGAAAGGCAAAAACTTTGATTTTTGTATAAGCAGTTAATATATATATGAAATGAAAATAAAAATAACTTATTTGTGAAACTAATAGTTCTCTACACAAAGAATATGTTCATAGAGCAATTATGAAATCAGACATCTATTCCATATCACCCCTGAAGGGAACAGAGCATCAATATTTTAATCTAAAGTTCATATATGTAGGAGGCATCTATTTTATTCTTTTTTTTTTTTTTTTTGCTTTATAGATTTACAACACTTTATGATTTAGGGGGACAGGTTCATACCTTTTCAGATGTATGTTACCATCCCACCCCACCATTCTTTACCATAAACCATTGTGCCCCCTTCACCAGTCTCCCCACTCCCTCCTTCCCTTCCCCTACATTACCCCAATTCTGCTTAATCTGAAGGTTAGATCTAAATATTGGCTGTGTCATTTGCTCCCAAGAGACATTTGGCAAAAATGTTAATATGATTATAGTTTCCATATTATATAATATGATTATAATATACATATGATTACAACATCAATTTAAAGAATTATTAGGAGGATTAAAAATAATTATTCTTATTCTCCTGAGATACAGACAGCTATCAACAAATGAATAACATTATTTTAAATTCAAAGACATTTTATATGAACTTTTCTTATTCCTCATAACAGTTCCATGAAGTATAGTGCAATATTTTCTTCATTTTATGTGGTTAGGAAACCAAGACTTAAGTCATTTAAGTAACCAGTTAATGTTACCCAACTAGGGAGTGAGAAAGCTTAGATTTGAACATAGAAAGCTTAGATTTGTTACTTACAAAATAACAACTCTCAACTACGGCATGAAGAATTTATATTCTTAGTACTGTGACTTTTGTATCACTAATTTCACATGGCTAATGAGAATACTAAGCCCTGTTTTTACGGTGTGTGAACCTTACACATTCTCAAGATGAACAAAATTTTAACATTTGTAAGGAGATTTTTAAATAATTCTTTCACTTTGCAGTAGTTGAGGCCTCTCCTTTATCCCCATTAGTAGTTATCTATAGCTACTTTCACACTCTACTTAAGGTGCACACGTTATATTACACATATTTTACTATCTGCCTTAGATCAAGTACTTCCTGAAAACAAAGACTTTATTTTTTCTTTTTGTATCCCTTTCCTACATCTAGTTCAGTGAGATGCCCAACCAGTATTTGTTCAAGTAAAGGTAGTGAAAGGTATTAGGGTAAAACCAAAAGCATTTAGCAAATGAGACAAATTAACATGTTTAATCATATTTTGAATCCAGTCAATATTTTTAATAATGTGCACAATTATATCCTAAAATTTCTAGCTCAATCTTTAATGTTTTTAGTATATTTCATATCTATACAAGCACATAAATGTTTCTCTAATGAAAAACTTAGCTGAAATCTTTATTTTTATCATTGAGACAACCAAGTCAAATTACGAATAGGATGAAAAATTCTACCTGAAATTAATGATTTTATATACCTATACTATGTACCTCACATATCACATACACTTACAAACATACACAGAGACTAGACACATTTAATCAACAGAAGTAATTTTGGAAAAACATTAAAATAAACTCCTTTTACCTTTTGTCCTAAAGAAGAAGCACTGATATATCCACTTCCCTCTCTTTACAAGTGAAACCTATTATATTTATCACATAGTATTTCAGCATCTGGTCCAAGAGGAAAGGAAATGACACTTTGGCGTGTTGA